TATCAGGGCTGTACTCAGCTCACAGGGCAGCACTGGTTGTTTACTACCATCTGTGTTCGGATTGGTCAGTGCCCTTTACTTCTGTTGTCACATATTTTTAGTCACCAGGCTTTGCACAGATTATGTCATTAAATCCTTTCAAGCCTATTAGATAACTGTTTTTATTCCCGTTTTACAGCTAGGGAGGCGCAGATGGGCTCGGGAACTCATCCAAATGGGAGAGCTGGGCCTTGAACCTATCTGACCCTGAGCCTGTGTTCTCAGTCACCATCCTGTCCCCACCAGCATCCTGACCTGCGATAGCTTCTGCTAACTGGAGTGTGACGACAACACAAAGCTCAGATGCTAATAAGGGACGGAGGACTGGCTGCTCTCCTAGACCACGGGAGCCCCAGTTTCTACATGGAACACTCCCAGTTTGGAAGCCAGGCCAGTAACCAAAGCTCTCAGGACTTGGGCTGATTCTTTGTCACCCATGCCAGCAGCAGATCCAGCCAGCTGTGCTGTGGGGCCGCCAAGGCCATCCCAGCTGGTCAGCTCACACGTCTGGAGCTTCTGCTGTGTGCCAGGCACAACTCCAAATGCAAGCAAGTCTCAGGCCTTTCCTTCAGAGCACCAGGAGCTTCGTGTCCCTCCCTGGCCTCAGATGCTCCTGCTAAGAGGGGCCAGCTCTAGGCCTTATCTTTATTTGGCACCGCCTCCATGTCCCTGAAATTCCTGCCCTCTAGGCTGATGGCCATCGTGCCAAGGGCCAGGGAGAAATCCAGAGTCACAAGATGCAGGGGACGGTTTAAGGCACCAGGCGTCTCTCTGTCTTTTATTTTTTTAATTTTTCTAATGTTTTATTTATTTCTGAGAGAGAGAGACAGCGTGAGCAGGGGAGGGTCAGAGAGAGAGGGAGACACAAAATCTGAAGCAGTCTCCAGGCTCTGAGCTAGCTGTCAGCACAGAGCCCCATGCAGGGCTCGAACCCATGAACCATGAGATCATAACCTGAGCCAAACTTGGACGCTTAACCAAGTGAGCCACACAGGTTCCCCTCTTATAATTTTTTTTTTTTTTTTTAATTTTTAAGTTGGAGACAGAGAGAGAGAGCACAAGCGGAGAAGGGTCAGAGAGAAAGAGAGACAGAATCCCAAGCAGGCTCTGCACTATCAGTGTAGGGGCTTGAACTCATGAACAGTTGAGATCATGGCCTGAGCCAAGATAGAGAATCTGATGCTTGGGGCGCTTGGGTGGCTCAGCTGGTTATGTGTCCAACTTCAGCTCCGGTCATGATCTCACGGTTCGTGGGTTCGGAGCCCTGCGTCGGGCTCTGTGCTAAGACCTCAGAGCCTGGAGCCTGCTTCCAATTCTGTCTCTCTTCCTCTCTCTGCCCTTCCCCCACTCATACTCTGTTTCTCTCTGTCTCAAAAATAAACAAACAAAAAGAATCTGATGCTTAACCGACTGTGCCACCCAGGTGCCTTTTTTATTTTTTTAATGTTTATTTTTGAGAGGGAGCAAAAGGGTGAGTGGGGGAGGGGCAGAGAGAGAGAGAGAAGGAGGTAGAGAGGGAAACAGGATCCAAGGCTGTCCGCATAGAGCCTGGAACGGGCCTTGAACTCACAAACTGTGAGATCATGACCTGAGCCGAAGACCACTGCTTAATGAACTGAGCCATCCAGACGCCCCACAGCCATCCCTTCTAGCACCTGGCACTGGGCACTGCCCACCCTCCGTTCCACTGTCTATATTCCTGAACTAGGGTTGGCAGCAGCTGCTGGAGACAACCAGTCCCTGGCACCCTTCCTTTCCAAGTCATGTGCGGCCTTACAGCCCCTCCAAGGGGCCACAGCCTCCCCAAAGCCCCCTCCCCTTGCTTCCCTGGTAGTGAGAGTGACTGCAGAACTCTTGAGCTTCCTCCATGGAGGTGGAGGAGGGTCCTCTGCTGGAGGCAGAAAGCTACGTGCTTCTCCTGGGTGTGCCTGACGCACAGGCCTGGCCCCTGCCCTACAGCGGCCATGATGCTCAGGCAGGGGGCACATCACGCATAAGTCCCAGGATTCTGCTGGTTACAATGGTGGTATCCGGGTGGGATCCCTCACTGTCAGGGGCAATGAACAGAGCCACCCAGAGCAGGCAGCCCGGCGGGGAGGACACCAGGCTCCGGCTCCACCTCGCAGCACAGCCCTCTTCTGTATACACTCTGAGCTGTCCCCGCTGCATCCACCTCAATCTACAACCTCACTCATTCACCACATGTGCTGACCAAGGGGTCAGGGAGCCAGAAGGCCAGCCATCTGGCCCAAGGGGGCATTTTTTAGCCTTCTCCCTGGGGGTGCTGGCGGGACTTGGGTTAGCAGCCTGGGCAGGGGCCTGGGCCGCCCTTCCTTCCCCTGGCCTTGGCCTCAGGAAGGCAGCTTGGCCAGCTGTTTGCGCTCAAGTTGCTGACCAAAATCACGCCCAGCCAGCCAGCCACCCATGAGGATGTCCGCAGGGGGCAGGTGGGACCACCATTGGGCTGAGGGGGGAAGAGGCCGTGGGGCCCAGGCACAGCCCAGCCAGCTCCGCTGTGTTCTTCTAACAGTGTCTGGGGTCAGGCTGAGGGAAGCAGGTTGTGATCGCCACAGTGAGGGGACGATGAAGTGCTCCCAACCCGACCCAAGGGACAGGGAGGCAGGGGTGGGGACCAGAGGCTCAGGGTGGGGGCTCAAGGTTCTCATGCCCAGGGGACCACAGCACCTCCAGTGAGATGACAGCTGCAGATGGGTGTGGTGAAAACCACACCTCACCCTTCCCCGTGGCGTTGCGGGGGGGGGGGGGGGGACTGACGTTCTGCAATCTGGCCTCCTCTGCTGTTGCTCCCAAGCACAGGCTGGGCCCGTCCTGTGCGAACTGGAGGGCGAGCCTGAGTTTCTTGCTGACCCATTGGCAGACCGGACTGTCTACCCTCTGCTACCTTACCTGAAAGTGATCCAGAAGGGGGCCTGCTTTCCACCCGCTGCACAGGCCCCAGCCCCAATGCCCAACACCGGGCAAGAGGCTGTGCTTGCAAGGAGCCAGCCAGGGGCAGCCCCAGGGGAGAAAGCAGAGGAATGACTGAGGAAAAGAACTGAGTGGAAAAGAGTAAATTTCCAGTCCAGCCAGTCAGCTCAGAGCTGGTTTCCCTACACTCTGAGCCTCCCTGGCTGGGGAAGGCCTGGCAAGGGGTATGGGGTGGCCATTGCTGGCCTCTCCCAGATCTGTTCTTCCTTCTGGCTGAATGAGGTGTGATGAAGACCCAGTTAGCTATTCGTAGAAGGGCAATGTCCGTAAATAAGCCGGGTTTGGGGGTGCCTGGGTGGCACAGTGACTTAACATCCATCCAGCTTGATTTTGGCTCAGGTCACGATCTCACAGTCGAGGGTGGGAGTCCGTTGGCTAACAGTACAGAGCCTGGTTGAGATTCCCTCTCCTCCTCTCTGTCCCTCAGCCACTTGCACACTCTCAAAAAGCAAATGAAGAAACCATAAGCCAGGTTTGAAGTGCTTGCCTGTTTTCCTACCACCTTAAATTTTGCCAATAGGATGTAATTTCTAGGTGTTGTCTAAATCATCTGGTTTTACACACATACCGGATTAGGGATGAAGCAGGGATTATGCCAGACTCAGAAACACGAGCCCACAGGTCCACAGTTCCTATTAGCCTAGCAGGGGAAAAGGGGGAGAGAGGAGAAGCGGGCACAGAAAGAGCAACGGCGGCCACCTCACCAGGGTAGACCTGGCTTTGGCCAGACTAAGGGCTTCAGGACAAGGGCAATAAATAGCTCGGTTCAAAATCTCCTGATAGCCAGACTGGCCCGGCCTAATCAAGAAATGCACCAATACACAGGCTCAACAGGCATAAATTGGCAGTCTTGAGCAAATTGTGACACCTTTCAAAACAGAGGTCTGCCTGTCCTTTCTCAAGGTACTCCCCTCCACCCCCAGGTAAGTCAGGAGGCAACTTTCCAGGCATTTACCCACAAAAAGTTCCATTTGTGAAATAGGTTTTGTCAATTCAAATGAAGACCATTAACAAGATGAGATAGTCTCAACTTCAAAAAAAACTTTTATTTTTGTCTCATCCATCAAGGGCACAGGATACCTCCATCAGCTCCAGCTTTTGCTTTTCTCCTTACAGATTTTCCATTATCTAAACCCAGGGTTATCCTGTGTGGGCAGCTTCCTAGAACCAAAAGATATTTTTGCCTTCTGGGTTAAGTAGGCTCATGCAGTGTGGAAGCACAAGCTGCACTATTTAAAGCAGCAGATTCCAAGCCGCCCAATAAAACCCACAAACCTCTACACGAGGATGTAAGAAAGTTGTACTGGGGGAGAAGGTTCAAGTTACACCCCGCTTGGATTATCACGACTGGTAAACAAACGGACCGCACCAGGGTGAGGTCTAGTACTCCGATGCCCCACAGCACAGCCCCACATCCAAGATTGCAGTGTCCTTCAGAAACACTAGATGATGAGAATTGGTAAGTCACTGTTCCAGAACCCTTATTGGACTCCACTTTTCCACCTTCAGGGTCTCAGAAGACTCCTTAAGCTGCTAAGAATCGAGCCTATATATCCTACCTTGCCTCTCTTCCTAAGCCCCTTGAATTTGAAATGAACCCAAACTTAAAAAAGCTACTTTATCAGGGCACAACTATCTTTCTATAGCTACTAGTCAAATACACAAAATGCTGGTCTCATGACCAGTGACTCTTGTGCCCATGGTCTTGCGGACTAGATCTAGATACTAATAGGCATACAGTGGACCATCTACTGGTCAATTAAACTAGCTTCATACTGAAAAAGTGGATTAGACCAAGGTGTACTTGTGCTAAAATAACCTCTATAAAGAAGTTCTAATTATTTCTGCATACAATCGGTTCCTTTCTCTACCAAGCAAAACAAGATACAAACCAAGCTCAAACTTCAGGATACAAAGAACCTAGATTATGGATATGTTTCTTTGTATATTCAATGTAGGTTTTTGACACTTAGTTGAGTAAACAAGTTTATTTGTAAATTTAGTCAACATACATAATTGACCTAAAGACTTCAATAGAAGATTAATTTTTAAAACCACTTAGAAGGCCATCTCTAGAAAGTGATTTTCCCAGGACCATGTTATCAGATGTAACCTAACCAACACCACCTTAACTAGCAGAGGTTCAAGAAGCTGGAGTTGTGTGCCCCTCTCCTACAGCAAGTTTACTTTAAGGGTTATTATAATACAAACTCCACGAGGAAAAGAACTTCAGCATGGTTTCCTCTTCGTAGAGAGAAACTCAACCTAGTTATGAGACCAACCACAACACAAAGAAAAGCTGCACTAACTAGTATAGATTAGTAACAGATGATGCTGGTGTGAATAACTTGTATTATATTCTAGAGCCCTTATAAATAAACCCCCCCCTTAGTGTTTGCATTAATCAGCTAGAGGATTAGTTAACATGTGGTAGAATGAGGACTTATGCAAGGTATAATTTGCAAAGCAGTTTACTCTCATGAAAACAAGTGCAGTCTAGTCAGGAGAAAACCAACTGGACTTTAAATTACACACACCTTAATGACAAGACTCCCCACCACATGTGAATGTAAAACATTTAATTTAAAAATGTTGACACTACAATATATAAAATAGCTATTATAAATGCACATAGTGTATTCTATAGCTGCCAGTTTTTACTTTTTTTTTTTTTTTTAAGGAAACTGTAAGTTACACTGTGGTTAAGACTTGTATCTTCACCCTTGAAAAAGCCCACATTCTATCACAGTGATGTATGGTCAGACTTAACAGCCCCAATTGTTAAACACTTGGATCAAGTCATAACCAGTTTTATTGCAAAAGGACCCTGTACACATTTATCAATTCTAGTACCTTAATAGCTACCCAACAAGTCATTAACATACAGAAACATGCATCATGAGAAGCAAGAAATATCACCCATCCCTTCTGCATATTAGCAACTTGTCACTCCTGAGCAACAGTGCTCACATCACTGAGGTCTGTGAACAGTCACTTTTCGCATTCATCCTGAGTGAAAGATGGAATGACTTAAGTACAAATGCAACGTATTATAAACAATTTCTTACAAAAAAAGTCACAAATTAAACCAAAGTATTTTACAGAATTTACTACAAAACACCATAAAAACGGCCTTCACTTAAGCTCTCTCTCCCCGTATCCGGCGAGCCAACTGGATGTCTTTGGGCATGATGGTGACTCTCTTAGCGTGGATGGCACACAGATTAGTATCTTCAAATAAACCCACCAGGTACGCTTCACTGGCCTCCTGTGGAGGACAAGAGCCACACCATTAAACTCTCTCCGAGGACGAGAGGCCACGAAGCCCTCCGACCCTGCTCCAGCCGCGCTCGGCTTACCTGCAGCGCGCCAATGGCGGCACTCTGAAACCTCAGATCGGTTTTGAAATCCTGGGCGATCTCCCTCACCAGCCGCTGGAAAGGCAGCTTCCGGATCAGCAGCTCAGTCGATTTCTGGTAACGACGGATCTCTCGAAGGGCAACGGTCCCGGGCCTGCAGCGGGCAGGAGAGTGTCAGCGGACCCCCGGGAACCGACAACGCTCCCGCTCGGGGCCGCGCGCCCCCCCGGTCATTGTTTTCCTTGCGCCTCGCCTACCTGTAGCGATGAGGTTTTTTCACCCCGCCGGTAGAGGGAGCGCTTTTCCTGGCGGCTTTAGTGGCCAGCTGCTTGCGGGGCGCTTTCCCACCCGTAGATTTACGAGCAGTCTGCTTGGTTCGGGCCATTTTCTTTTACCTAAAGAAGACACCCGTGACTCCGGGCCGCGGCGCTAGCCTCCCGGGGGCGGAGGGCGGGACGGGCTCGGCGCCCCTGCCCTCCCGCCTCTGCGCCGCGGCAGATGGCCCGGGGCCGCCACCGCCGCCTCCTCCCCCTCCCCTAATGACTCAGGCTGCGAGAAGCGGCGGCGGCCTCCCCCGGGAGGGGGAGCGCGGGGAGGAGTCACTTCCCCTCCTCGACGGGCGGAGGCCCTGCTTGCCCGGAACCCGGCATCGGGACCTCTGAATCACCACCGGGGAAGAGGCGGAGACGCGGTTCCGGAACGAAGCCCCAAGGGAAAACCTCCCGGCCCCATACCCGACACCAGCGGCCCGGGTGGCCCGCACGGGCCAGCGCTCCGCTCCCAACGGCTGCGGCCCGCGGCATCAACGGCCGACGGGGCCTCGGACGACAAGTAAATCCGCCAACACTTACCCAGGGACGAAGTCTTAGGCCGCTTCTTCGATCGCCACGCCGCTCCTGCTGCCCAATGAAGAGCCGCAGTCGCCGAGCAAAGAAAAGAGGACCCTCCAACGAACCACCAAACCGCTCTGTGCTCCAAACCCCCCCTTGGCCTCCGTACTTATACCCACGCTTCACGCTGCGTCTCTGCGTCATAGGGACCTCATTTGCATACACCAACGACTTTTTCTATTGGCGGGAGCTTTCGCCGACGCGCTGACATCCCCGACACAAAGGCCGTGCTTCGGACCCGCTCCCGGATTGGTGGGTACTTAGGCCTCTGATTGGCTGTTAAAGTGGCCTGATGATTGGATGAATGCAAAGAGGAATGGACGAATCAGAGGTTAGCACGAAGCGGCTCTTCTGATTGGATAAAATGAAGCTATGTTTGGATCCTTCCCTTGGTTCCAAAGCTCTACAATAGAAAGTCAATGCAAATGAATTGCATTGGTCTCTATCAGAACTTAAGGGGACGGATGGGCAGGAGCCTAACCACAGCTGCATCTCGCGAATAAAATGTAGAAGTTACTTTAAGGAAGTTTTTGTAAATATTTTCCATAGTAAAATAAAATGTGTTACCTGTAATTATTTACTTTCACATTTTGATAGTTATGTACATAGTGTAAAAGAGAATTAGAATTCAGCAAATCGTATCACCAAGTATTTTAGACATCACACATATACATTTTAATCAAAAGGCAGTAATTTTGTTGGGTGGTGTAGGTAGCAGTAAATAGTAGATACAAAGAAAAAAATGTCAGTAAGTGATTTTATACTTACTGTTCTGTATGTTCTCAGACCACAAATTACATTATATTGTAATTTCAAAATGCTTAAGTGAGAAGCAACCTACTAAGCAACATATTTTTGAATTATGTAATTCAACTGAATGAAATGACTACAGCCAGAATGGGAATAGTCCTAGGACAGCATTTGCACGTCCATAAAAAATAAAGAAAACTAAATTAAATATGTGCGTTTAATGGTATATTCTTGTAGGTAGATAACTTCTAAGAAACATGACAAATGTATAAAAATGGTAATCTCTCTTTGCCTAAATAAATGTCTTTGATGTTTTGTAATATTCAGTTCTCTTGAAGACACAGGTATATAAAATATCAAAGCAGGCTTAAGGTTAAGAGCAGCCAAACAAACTCAGAAAATTGAAATACAGCTTTGGGCATTTTACTGCATAGTTCCTACTCTGGCTTCACAGAATTTTTTTTCCCACTGAATATTTTATTTATGTATTTTCAAAGATTTTATTTTTAAGTAATCTCTACACCCAACGTGAGGCTCAAATTCACTCTCCCTGGGATCAAGACAAAAGTCAGATGTTCCACAGACTGAGCCAGGTAGGCGCCCCTGAGTATTTTTAAGTTATCAAAATAAAAAGTAAAAAAACAAGTATGTATAGATTTTAACTCAGATAATTATTGTACATAAAGACAAATACCTCAAAAATTTACTTGTGACATCGAAGGTCTGCTCTCAGTGTCAACAGTGAGGGGGGAAAATGCACAATTTGAAAAATCAGCTGTGGCAAAAATGTCTTTGACCCAATCTCTGGTATCAAATTCCTCTCATTTCAGCCCTCTCAATCAATCTTAACAGGTACAATTTGTATTTAATTATCACATACCTAAACTTTTATGTGATAATTTAGTCAAGTTTAATTTCGGCATTCTGCCCAAATTTACAGTAGGGGAAAAATAGAGCTTTCTGTTTCATTCACGTGATGCTGAGAAACCAAGATGGAGGCTCTTGCCCTGTCCTCAGAACCTGTGTAAAGCCAAGAATCAAGCCACTGGGTAGAGCCCACTTAGAAAGCTGTCAAATGTTCTGAGATGTAACCAAAAAAACACCCTGCGGGGGTTAACTTTTTTTGACTGCCCAAAAGTACCGGAGAAGAAATGGGCTCCCAAGTTAACAATCCTTTTGTGTTCCAAGGATTTTCTAAAAGATCCAGAATCCTTACAGACACTCCAGTTTTGTTTTTGTTTTTGCAGTTTTGTTCATTACTAGAGGGGAACTAAAATTGCTCCAGGAGAGGCTGGGTTAGATTTACATTCATCCATTTAAAGAATGATTGGTGGAAATAGTTTGTCTTTCTTACTTCCAGCAGTCATGCAAATTTCTCTTTTTCCTAAATTGGTGAGGGGGAGGGAAGGCGACACAGGAAATGAAGAAGAACGGAAAATGTTTATACAATCAAAACAGTGTAGAAGTGATGCAGCATGTAGGCTACTTAGTTCTTGTTCTGCCATGGGCTTGCTGAGTGACTCTGCGCAAATTCTCTAAGTTTCGGTTTCCTCTTTTGTAAATTAAGCAGTTTGGATGAGATCATCCCCCAATTTTACCAGTACACACTCATTCTGAAGCTTATGGTATACGCTTACTGAAAGCCTCGTACTGTGGAGCTGTATTTCTTCATTCAAACCACACTCGGGAATTTTGGGAATAACATACAAACCAAGTTCTTGGATTTAATAACAGGGTTAAATCAATACACTACAACTTTTATTTGTCCTTTTGAAATTTTTCTTCACACGCCCCTAGTGGTTAAACAATTGATTTGGCCTGTTTGGGAAATACCAGTTTCTCAACTTTGTAGGCTTCTGATGTGAGGTTATTTGGAACTAAATAAAGTAAGTATTTGTCATTCTTAGGCATTAACAATTTTCCGTTCACCCCGCCCTCCCTCACTCCCAACGTTACTGGGAATGCTTTCCTTTAAAGTGACAATCAGGGGCGCCCGGGTGGCTTAGTCGGTTGAGCGTCCGACTTTCGCATAGGTCATGATCTCGCGGTTCGTGGGTTCGAGCCCCGCGTCGGGCTCTGGAGCCAGCTCAGAGCCTGGAGGCTGTTTCAGTCTGTGACTCCCTCTCTCTCTGACCCTCCCCTACTCACGCTCTCTCTCTCTCTCCTAGAAATAAATAAAACATTAAAAAAAAATAAAGTGACAATCATTAGTTAACAAAATCCTATCTATCTAATCGTATATAAATCGGCCATTAAAAACAATGGATTTAAATAGACTCAATATGGAAAACAAAGTTAATATTGATAGAGAGAGAGAGAGAGGGAGAGATCGCACACGAGCTGGAGAGGGGCAAAGACAGGAGGGAGAACAGAATCCGAAGCAGGCTCCAGGCTCTGAGCTGTCAGCACAGAGCTCGACAATGCAGGGCTGGAACTCAGGAGCTGAGAGATTATGACCCGAGCTGAAGTCGGATGCTTAACCGACTGAGCCACTCAGGTGCCCCTGGAAAACAAAGTTAAATGACAAGTGTCCACATATCCATGAAGAACTTTGTAAAGCTCCCAGAACGCCTAGGTCAGAGGAATTGGCTTATCTTACGAAATCTAACATTGTGAACTTAGCCGGACTAGCGGGAAACAGGGACGAAGAACACAGCCTGCCGACCCGAGCACAAAACCGTAGTGGATTATTAATTGCAGCACCCTCTACGCAAACCCAAGTTCTGCCTCTGGACACCGTGACGCTTCTCAACACCCCTACAACTTGCCAGTGTAACAGACTATTCTAGATGGAGATTAAATTCGTCTTTGGCTCCTCATGTACTGGAAACAAGTTGGTCAGGCCAGGTGTCGAGTTGACAAGGGACCCATGTCGCGGAACTGCAGGTTTCAGGGCGGGGGGAAAAGTTTACGGAGCGCGTCTGCAAAGACGCGGGAATATGGTGTCGTGTAGCTCTACTTTAACAAAGATTTCTCAGGCTGACTTCTAATAGGCAGACTTTCCTTCATGCCTCCCCAGCTGGCCTGGCCTCAGGAATGAGGATGTTGGGGGAGTACTATAGGTGCCTGCAGCACAAAGGCCCAGAGCTAAAAACGGACAAGTTCTTTAAAGCACTGCTGGGACTGGCATCAGAACTGAGACCAAGCCCTACTAAATCCGGTGGCGAGTAGTTCTTACACTGTGGGCGATGAAATTATACTTGGACTGTTTTACAGAAGTCGGTAGGGCCTCTCTAGCTCTGAGCTCCTTCTCCTTCAGGGGCTCCAATTTCAAGGAAATCTCGCCTGCGAACCTGGAAACGCACTGGTAAAAAGGAGAAACGGGACGGGACTGCAATCCCCACAAGTCGTGGCGGGCCCTCAGCATCCGGGACACCGTCTGCAAAGATCCCTGGGTATTGTGGTCCATTCCTTTGGCAGCAACCCTCTGCCGACGGTAAAATTCCAGCCAAACCGAAGACCACAACTCCCAGCAACCCTTGCTGCCGTGCGGGGGGTCTTCACGTTCTCGTGGCGCGGCGCAGGCGCACTAGGGCCTCGGCGCGGACCGCGCAGACTGAATAATAAAAGGGGAGCGGCGAAGAGGCAGGAAGACAGGACCATGTCGAAGGGCCCCGGGCCCGGCGGCTCCGCAGCTTCCTCGGCGCCCCCGGCCGCTACCGCTCAGGTGCTGCAGGCACAGCCCGAGAAACCGCAGCACTACACGTACGTAGAGCCCCCCCCGCCGCGCGCGCACGCCTGACGTCAGCGGCCAGCGTGAGTCACGCGCGCAGGGAGAGCGCGAGGCGGCCTCTCCCTCCCCCCTTCCTCCTCCGGCCCGGCCCAGACCGGTTCCAACCTGCTGGGGCCGGTCCCAACCGCCTCTAACTGCCACCAACCCCTGGTCGGGCCGTGGGGCGGGAAGCTCGGTCCGCGCCGCCGAGTGGGGAAGGCGGGAGCGCGGGCTGCGGAGAGCACACGTCTTAGGCCAGGCCTTTGAGGCCTAACTGTTCCTTAGACCGTAAAACCACAGTCTCAGGCACTCGTGGGGCTATAAGAAGCCCGGGACGGGGCCAGGACGCGTGCCCTGGGGGCCAGCCCGAGGGCCGCGGTGCATGACGGTCTGCCCGAGGTCCTGTCAGGCGCCCCGCGCGCTCTGCCCGGGAGGCCTTTTGTGTCCCCGAAGCCCGTGTGTCGTGTACGAAAGCCCTTCTTTGCTGGAACTCGCGGGGACAGCCGATCCGGCCCGAGTCCGGGGCCACGGGGGCCCACGGGGGTCGGAGCGTGTCCTCAGCCCCCGCGCTCCCACCGCAGGAGTCCAGCGAGATGGAACCCCCCCCCCCCGGGAACCCGCTGGTGTCTGAGCGGAGGTCCCCGTCTCCTTTTTATGTCCTTTTCAAGGCACGTTCAACGACCCCCTAGCGCTAGCTGCCTCGGGAGAAAGGGGTACAGAGGCGGGTCTTCCCGATCCGCAAAATGTTGGTTTCCGATTTCCCCGGTGCGCTTTGCCTCCCGTCCGCCTGTGCTCCCAGGTGCTGAGGCCGTTTAGCAGGATCCCCAGGTGGGCCTGAGGCTGGCTGGCGATTTGGAACCTGGGGGCCCGAAAACCCCTTAAGAGCCACACAGTAACGCCGCCTGGTGAGCCGAGCGCAGAAGCCCCCATTGGAGTAGAAAGAATTAAAACTAGACAGGAGGAGCTCCCGTTTGTCACTCACAGAAGTAAGCCCCATTGGGAAAGTGTTCTGGGATTGGGGGACCTCGGATTTAGGAAGCGTATTGGTTTCTTCGTGATACTCTCTGCTATTGGTTGAAAGAAGTGGAAGCTTTTTCTTGGCTGCAGTCCGACCCACGTTAACTGTTACTTTTCTCTTGTGGCCATTGCTTTTGCTGCTCCTTTCTCACTGGAGTTCTTCCGGCCATCTTTCCATTGGTTCTGGTGACCCGATCCTACCTCGGAGAATACTTATCAGGTTGAGTGGTGTGGTCAGGCAGCAGTATGGTTTTGACTTGAGAATCTGCGGGTTTCACATAAACTGGAGCGTCTTTATAATCTGTGGTTGCCCGGATCATATTTTTCAGTAAAATACGTATAATATCTTGTGTAACGCCGCAGCAACCTCTGTATGTTGTCACTGTCTATACTAGGGAATCCATATGAGAAGGGCTTTCTTATTTTGAGTCGACAGATGAAACAAGGTAACATCTGTGGAAACGTTAACACCTGAGTTCTTGTCCGATAGACGCTCATTTGTTTAAAATCTGTCTTTGCATTCCTTGTCGGGCAAGCGCAGAGGAATCCCCGGTCTTGGCTTTTGAGGTGGCTAAGTAATCAACCGAAGTAGATGAAACAAACGCCCAAGTCCGATTGGGTGGCTCGGAGGTTGTAGGTGTTCCCATCTTTTATTTCACGTTGACTGTTCGTTTGCGTGTATGTTTATGTTTTCATCACCAAGAATCCGAGGTAGACCTCCGTTGTCTTCCTTGGGAGATTTATGGGCGTTCAGAAGCTGTGATGATTTGGAAAACTTCATTCCGTTGTCATGCTGGTTCTGAGGAGCAGGGAGCTTGACGCCTGTACACTTAATAGCACTGATTTTTTTTTATTTTTTAAGGTGAACCCATTTATTATCCCCGGGGGTTAGAATATAAGAAAATTTTTATTTTAATATTTGCTTTGAAAATTTGAGCTGGCCAGCGTTTTTAAAAATTCTTCCTCGTAAGCATGAGTTTCCTGAATTTATACCAATCTGAATATGGCCTTATATATTGCATGACCCATTTGTGGGATACAGATATAAACCCTTTGTTCTTTAAATGTATTTCTTTTTACCTGTTAATTTTTTTTTTTTACTTTTTAAAACTTACTGGGATGTAAATTAAACCTATTATTTGAGATTATGTGATATGCAATAATCTGGAAGAAATTTGTGTTAAAATTGGGTGCCACTTGGAATACCTGGCCAGCTCAGTCAGAAGAGCATGTGACTCTTGATCTCAAGGTCTTGAGTTCAAGCCCCACATTGGGTGTGGAGATTGCTTAAAAATACATAAACTTTAAAAATTTTTAGGGATTGAGTGCCACTCATTATAATGGTAGACAGTCTTGGCAAACACCGTTGAATTCACCAGAAACAAATATTGCCTTTCTGTAGGCTTGTTCTTGCCCTACAAAGTCCTAGAGTTTCAACTGTCTTTGTGACATAGTTTGAAGAATAATTATTTTGTTGTTTTTCCTTCTAAACTTGTGAATAATCTTGCTTTAAGGAAAACTTTGAAATAATCCTTTCAGCAAATTGGTATAGTAGGCACTTGTGCTAGACTTGAGGAATCCCACCCTTTAGAAAATGCCTATATTAGTTAACTCTCTTGTACAGCTTCAAGCATTTGCTAAGCATGCAGTAAAAGGATAATGTGCACGTATTAGTCCTCTTCCAAAGAAGAACCACCTGACATCTTGCTAGGTAATTTGTCTTTTATTTGACAAAGACTGAATTTAATCCAGCTGTTTTCAGAACAAGTCTATCTTGTATATTGTATTAGAAGAATTTTATAAAAGCCTATTTAAGAATGGGAAATTTTAGAGCAATTCAATTCCAAAATGCATCTACAGTTCAGCTAACTTTGGACTTTTTACTGTATAACAATTATTAAATTATTAAGTTATTATAGTTGGGAATAGAAAAGAAGAGTGTGTAGTTGAAAGGTCACCAAAAAACCTGCCTTCCAAAATAACCAGGTTTCTGACTCAGTATTCTGTCCCTATAAGGGGATGTAAGCCTTAAAGACATTATATCATTTTTGGATTCCTTCTCCTGCAGTGGATTCTCAGGCTTCTTAATACCTTTGGGATAAAGGAAAATGAAATTCTAGTTCAGTGTGAAGGTTTCTTGGAGATTCTGGCCACTGGGTAATTTCTTCTAGGTAGACAGAAGAGAAATGCTTTATGACCTCATCAAGCCAAGTGTCATTTTAACTTAGGACTGTTCCCTGGGCATCTTTAAACAGATAAGGTAGCAGTATTTCCATAGATAACTATTTTGAGGCAAATTTGTTACTTTATACATGTGTAAATGTCGTGACTTCACTTGATTGCATCTGACTGTGTTTTGGAAAACCCAGGAAATGAAAATGTATTTAAATCATAATTGCAAATTGCAATAAAATTGTGAATACATTACTAGAGTACAACTTGTTGTGCAACAGAAATCACTGGAAGGGTTGCTAAGCAACCTCAGCAAGCATGAGTTACATTACCAATAAATATTTCTGTATCTTGTTTACTTGCTATTCAAGTAGAAGTAATTTCTTACAGGACAAAACTTAAGAGCTCGTTATGGCCATCAATCGAGCCCACGATATCCCCATTAAGAATTAAGTGCCCATGCTAAGGGTAGAGTCAAGCATAGCACCTAGCTGATATTTGCTATGATCTAAAGTAATGATTAAAGTGAAGATTTGCTTAATGGTTAAGTTTTTTTGTTTTAATCCAGCTATGTTAGATACTAAAGAAGGCTTCCCCACAATCCATTTGCATCTGCTTTGACTGGTGGTTTCTATCAACCTACAAAGACTGACTTATTGGTGAGGGCAGCTGGACAACTCTGAGAGCAACTTAGAGAAATCCATCTTGGGCACACTCTATAAAGGAGCTCCTTCTCTGGAAATAGCACCCCAGATAAGTGCACAAAAGCAAGACACCCTCGTGGACCTACTTCCTCCCGCTTTCAACACCCTGATGCCTGAAGGTGAGGTCTCCTTCCTGTGTGTCTTAGAAGCCATGAGCTCACTTAGGTAATAAGAACCTGCAGCACCTGAGCACCACACATCTGCAGGCTTTCTTGCCAGACTTTTGCCTAAAGGTTATTTTTCTCATTAGGAGAGGCTCTAGGTCACAGGAATGATAAAAAGTAAGGTTGCATTTAAAGCTACATTATTTTAAATACTGGACTGGTGTAGGGATTATTTTCCCAAATGGGGCAGTATTTACTTAATGATTAAGTTTTTCCGTTTTGTTGTTGTTGTTTTGTTTTGTTTTGATCTAGCTATGCTTGATACTAAAGGAGGTTTTCCCACATTTGCATCTTCTATATTTTGAAATTGCAGCTATGGACAGTTATGGCTAATCCTAGTAGATTGTCTTCCCTTCTTTTAACATCTTGGATGAATTTGGGGCACACTAATGTGTTATGTGAAGATGGATGTTGAATGTAAGTTTCTCTGCCGTTCTTAGACAATATATAAAAATTACGTTAGTCTAATTGCTAAAAATGCCAAGAATTTGGGTTCAGTAGTCTTTTTGTTTTCTTATCACATAGATACTGTGTAGATTCACCCCAGCCAGCCATCTTAAATTACCTGCATGGGCCACAGAAATATCTGCGGAGAAAGTTGGGTAAATTCAGTGCATACGATGATAGGTATGGGGGTTATTTTGGGGGTGATAGAAATGTTCTGGAATTAGATAGTGGGGGTAGTTCTGCATTATGGTGAATATACTAAAATTTGCTGAGACATACACTTTAAAATGGTGAATTTTTTTGTTGTGTAAATTATATCTCAATTTTTTAAAAAAGGTTAAAGACAAATCAAGGCTTAAGAATCTATTAGGCTCATATGGCCTATCAGGGCTTGCCAGCATCATTTGGTATGGGAAAGCCTGCAGTTCGTGAAAAGCTCCTTGGTGCCCTTTTTCCAGCCTTCTCAATGGCTTAGTCCCTGTGTATCCATTCTAGGTGAATACCCCCATGGTCTAAGTTTGTGGAGAAGCGAATACTCAGCAAGTTTGAGACTCCTAGTTGTTGGCAGTTGTACTTCAAATTGACTCTGAATTGACAGCCATTATAAGGAGCAAGCATGTTTTCCCCAGTGTCTTTGTAAAAATGAACTGTGCTTCCTGGTGTGGGTGGCGGGTAGAAGAGGTTGCTCTTCTGAAAAGGAATGAATTCCATTCCCAGGTAGTTTATGGTTGGTTGAATGTTCTCATAGACCTTTCTTTAAGGACAGGCCATGTATTTTTGGCATTTTAAATTATATCAATAGCTGTAATATTTTAGTTCAAATAATCTCAAATTTTTATTATTTCTCTATACAATCCCTCAACTTTCATCCCTTTTTTCTTTGCCAGTGTGTAGAATTTGACAGCAGTATCAAGAGCTGATGAGGAGGAGAAGATGGAAAGGAGTCTAGCGACTTAAAAATCTCATAGCGTTCTCTGTGAGGTGACCTTTTTCCTGTTGGGGGCTCAATTTATTTAGGAGATAAAGAAGATACTCAGGCCTGTGACAGTATCATCATGTCCTATCTGAGCTTATTGAAATGTTTCTTCCCTTTCCTTAATCTTTATATCACTGTTCGCTTTTTGTGTTAAGTCAACCCATTTGTTTCCTCCTAGTATTTGAAACATTGTATGGCCACCCTAAGTCCTAACAAAATGACTTCTGATGAGGAGGAAAAAGGCCCATGTTCCCACCTTCCTCTGAAATTTTGGCCTGCTCCCAAAACTACCCCCATTGAGGAGAGGTAGTTACACTTAAGAAAGAAGAGGTGATAAAAACTTTTGGCCTTGTGTTTTATGACTTAAAAGTTTTAAATAGTAGTTTCTGTAGGTAAGTTTTTTTTTATTCTGGTAAGAACATTACTATTTCTTTTTGATGTAACTTTCACTGCTTAGAGGTACCAGGTATTTGGTAGCTTGCCATATTAGGATTTGTGCAAATCAGTCTTTTCAAATATGACATAAATTAGAAAACCATACCTGTATTTTCTTATCTAAAAAGAATCCAAAGCTTAAATTTTATTATTGAACTAAGAGTACTTTATAATGGGGGCACCTGGATGTCTCAGTTGGTTTAGCATCCAACTTTAGCTCAGGTCATGATCTCACAGTTCATGGATTTGAGCCCCCCATTGGGCTCTGTGCTGTTGGTGTGGAGCCTACTTGGGATTCCTTCTATATCCCCCACTCTCTGCCCCTCCCCCACTTGTGTGCACCCTCTCTCTCTCGAAATATAAATAAGATTTTATTATTTAAAAATATTTTTTTAATGTTTATTTTTTTGAGAGGCAGAGTGTGAGTAGGGGAAGGGCAGAGAAGGAGAAACAGAATCCCAAGCAGGTTCCAGGCTGAGTTGTCAGAGAACCAGATGTGAGGCTTGAACCGACAAACTGCGAGATCATGACTTGAACTCAAGTTGGATGCTTAACTGATTGAGTCACCCAGGCACCCCAATAAATAAACTTTAAAAAAATTAAAAAGGCACTTCATAATGAAGACATAAAATAAATATTAAATATCTACTAGAGCATGTTAAAGTTAACATTTTTGTTTTTTTATTTTTATATAAATTTTTTTCAGTGCTTATTTTTGAGAAACAGAGAGACAGAGTGCAGGCGGGGGGGGGAGAGGCAGAGAGAGAGGGAGACACAGAACCCAGAGCAGGCTCCAAGCTCTGAGCTGTCAGGATAGACACAGGACTCAAACCCACTACTGTGGGATCATGACCTGAGCTGAAGATGGACATGTAACTGATTGAATCACCCAGGTGCCCCGATTTTGATTTTTAGTGACTTATTTTGTGGTTATTGTAATCACGACCTGTCAAAATCTCCCTAATATATTTTGAACGGATTCTGGAGAGTCCATTTACGCGTGTTTGCTGTTAGTCTTGCTTTTTCTTTTAGCTCAAGTAAGAAAAACATAGTTACCAGTATGGTGTTTAAGAGTACTGACTCCAGGGGGGTGAGGGGAAGGGGGGTGATGGGCATGGAGGAGGGCACTTGTGGGGATGAGCACTGGGAGTTATATGGAAACCAACTTAACAATAAACTATTTTAAAAAAATAATAAACAGTTAAAAAAAAAAAAGAGTACTGACTCCAGGGCAAGACTGAGGTTGAAGGTCAGCTCTGCCAGTTACTAGCCATGGGACCTTGGGCAAGGGAGTTCCTCTTTGTATGTCAGTTTCCTGAGGATACCAGTGGTACCTGCCAGCTGGAGTTAATGAGGTCTGAGTTAATACATGTAAAGTGCTTAAAATAGTGCATGGCATTTAGCACAGTATATGTACCATTCTTATCAATATTTGAACAAGGCCAAGTTACTGCTTTCAGTTTCCTTGCTACCTCCTTCAATAGCCTTAACCAAATGCCTTCTTTAGCTACATCTGCAGTGAAGTAGATTCTTCAGAGAGCAGCTGGGTGGCTCAGTCAGTTAAGTGTCCAACTTTGACTCTCGTCATGATCTCACAGTTTGTAAGTTTGAGCCCTACAGCAGGTTCTGTGCTGACAGCTCAGAGCCTGGAGCCTGCTTCGCATTCTGTGTCACCCTTTCTGTCTGCTTCTCCCTTGCTCAAGCTCTGTCTCTCTCTCGAAAATAAACATTAAAAAAAATTTTTTTTAAAGTAGATTTTTCAGTTCCTAGGTCACATGTGGGTCATTGTTGTCTTCAGAGTATATTCCTGTCCTCCATATCCATTCAGATTTTACTTTATTTAAAACAATTTTTTTTTTACATTTATTTATTTTTGAGAGACAGTAAGACAGAGCGTGAGTGGGGGAGGGGCAGAGAGAGAAGGAGAGACAGAACCCTAAACAGGCTCCAACCTCCAGGCTCTGAGCAAGCGTTCAGCACAGAGCCTGACGCGGGGCTCGAACCCACGAACTGTGAGATCATGACCTGAGCCGAAGTCAGATGCTCAACCGACTGAGCCACTAAGATGCCCCTCAAATTTTACTTTAATTGCCATTCTTTGTGTAGCCTTCGTCAGGCTACCTGTATTTTACCTGATGGATTTGTGTTTTAAAGTAAACAGATGTGCTCTTACAGGGCCAAAGACTTTGTTTCACAGAAGTGTACAGAATAACACATCAATTCAAACATTTATACTAGAACATTCATCAAATTGGAGGTTTTTTTAGGCCGGCTGTGTACAGGAAAACTTTGAATCAAGTCACAGTGTTCTCTAACTTAGGGAAGAATGATCCAGGGTTCTCAGTTCTCCTCACATACATTCTACGAAATCAGTGATCTGAGTGAACCTTCCATGAACTCTTCTCAGTTTTTTACCAGTTCCGAAATGTTTCGGCCAAGGGGCCTTTTGTAAAAGGAAGCAGGAGCATGTAGGACTAGTTGCACGCTAACATATCATTCTTGGTTCTTGTTTAGTTCTTGGGACCAGGATGGCTCACCGATGTCATGCCTTTCCCAGTGAAGAATGGGCTGCAGCTATTTACCTGTGAATGGTTCCCCCACTTCAAAGCCTTTGCTTGCTTCCGTGCCTGTAGCCCATGTACTGTGGGTGGGTTCCTGTGTATCTGTATGTTAGGACAGTTCTGTTGTATCTAGGAGGTTCATACTGGCTCTAAGGTCCTACTATATCTACTCTGGCTAAAAACCAGGTATAGAATAAAAAGCCTACCTTAAAAGTTCAGATACACTCAAATTCAATAAACATTTACTTTATTTGCCTGAATAATGTTTTAAACCAGGATCATTTCAGACTTGGACACCAAATCTCTATAGCTGGATAGTGCTTTTTCAGAATTGTCCAAATATTTGCCAACCAAGTTTTAACTTTATTTGGTCTTGTTTTTTAAAAAGCCATTTTCTGGGCAGCTCCCACTGCTGTGGTTCTTGTTACATGGTTTGTATGGTTTCTGGGTTATGTTTGGTGTCAGAACAGAATCTGTTTATCCTTATAAACACTCAATCTAGAACTACTAGTAATTTATCTTTTAAAAAAATTTTTTTTAATGTTTATTTATTTTTGAGAGACACAGTGAGAGCAGGGGAGGATCAGAGAGAGAGGGAGACACAGAATCCGAAGCAGGATCCAGGCTCTGAGCTGTCAGCATAGAGCCCGACGCGGGGCTTGAACCCACAAACTATGATATGAGTTCATGACCTGAGCTGAAGTTGGTCTCCCAGGTGTGCCCCTCTAGTAATTTATCTTAAGCTCTTCAAAAATTAGCAAAGATTTTTTGTGTGTGTATATGTGTATATATATATATGTGTGTATATATATACACATACACGCACATATATGATTGTGTGTATATACATTTTTGGATAGTAGTTTAGGATTCTTAATCTGCCTATCAACTCTTAAAGTATTCTACTTGGAGTTAAGTATTTATTCTCAAACTTAAAAAATGAAGAATTCTGATAAGCCATGGTCTGTGATCTCTATAAATATTTTTTAGGAGTCATGTATGGGTAGGGTTAATATGGAAACGAGATTACAGATAAGTATCATTTGAGGCTTTGCAGTGTACTGTTTGACAGTGACGGGATTTTTTGTTTTCTCTTTGCTTTGTTAGTTGCAGAATCCTGTCACTTTGTGGTTAGATTTCAGTAAAGAATATTGAAGAATGGGGTGCCTGGCTGGCACAGTCAGTAGAGCATGTGACTCTTGATCTCAGGGTTCTGAGTTTGAGACCTACATTGGGCGTAGAGCTTACTTGCAAAATGGTCCTGTCCTCCGATAGTCTCTCTCTGTCTCTCTCTCTCTTTTTTTCTTTTTAAGCTTCTATTTCTATGGTAAAGCTTATACAGTGCTTGAAAAAGATGAAATTCCATGTTTAGGAGACTAGCTGTAATAAAGATGAATATCTGTGGCTTATTAGAAATGTGGGCATATCACATTTCCCATTTGAGGCTTATGAACAGTGATCTGACTGGTCAGGAGAGTAGTGGGCTCTCCATGACCAGGTGCTTCCTCATGGCCCTCCAGGTTGGGGATGTAAGTGAGGGTATCTGGAGTTTCTTCTGTTGGCTCAGTCTTCTGTTTGTTGCCCCTATTTTTTGGCTCACATATTGTTATTCACTGTGCATATTGAGATTCATCCAGTCTTTAGCAAATCTGGTTTTGCCACACCATCTCCTCTATTGCTTCTCCAGAGGCCGTCACTATCTTATTTGCCATTTTACTCAAATCTAACCACTTTGCATGTGTTTCCAAATCAGGTTCTGCACATCATAAACTGGATGACATTCAAATAGTGATTTACTTTGCAAAAATATTTACCACAGTTCACTTTTAACTTAAAGGAACTCTTTTTTTTTTTTTTTTAATGTTTTATTTATTTCTGAGAGAGAGAAAGAGAGACAGCATGAGCAGGGGAGGGTCAGAGAGAGGGAGACACAGAATCAGAAGCAGGCTCCAGGCTCTGAGCTAGCTGCCAGCACAGAGCCTGACGTGGGGCTCAAACCTACTAACCGTGAGATCATGACCTGGGCCAAAGTCAGAGGCTTAACCGACTGAGCCACCCAGCCGCCCCTGGAGCTCTTTTGGCTTATTAGCAGCATCTTTCATTTAATTTTAGGTCAGGATAGATTCTCTGTCAAGTTGTCATCACTATTGTGGGTTTCATTTCCAACAGCATTTTTTTTTTATTTTGATTCTAAAAGTAATCACAATTCAATAAAGAAGAGTCCAGGTAACCCTTAAAAATCAATAATACAGGATGTATTTTTCCTTTTAGTTTTTTTTCCCCCTGTTAAAGTCTGGTGACCTACTTCTATTATTTTTCTTAATAAATCTTTAGTTAAGTATCCAGTTATTGCCAAATGGTCATCATACTATCCCTTAGTCTGGGGAGGAAACAAAGGGTTTAATGCATCTCTAGTGATCTCCACACATTCCTAGGAATTACAGGGCAGGCCATCCCGCTGGTTGCTTTTCTAGTCTGCAGATGAGGCTGATCTCAAAATCAGTGTTTAGGGGCGCCTGGGGGGCTCAGTCGGTTGGACTTTGGCTCAGGTCATGATCTCACAGTTTGTGGGTTTGAGCCCCGCGTTGGGCTCTGTGCTGATGGCCCAGAGCCTGAAGCCTGCTTTGGATTCTGTGTCTCCCTCTCTGCCTGGAACCCTTTCCAAAGATGGAAAAAAAAAAAAAAATTAAAACTCAGTATTTAGGGTGAGGAACAAGACTGTACAGACATGGTGGGGAAGGTAGCTAGAGAAGTTACTGGTTCTTTAATTGCCAGGAGACGCACGTAAATCAGAGATTGGAAATGCTTCTCGGTTTTGTTGGGTTAGTGTATAGCTGCTATGGTCCAGGCTTGTACCATTTGTGATGCTTTACAGCTTGGCTTTTTCTTGGACAGACCTATCTGGAACGCCTGCTATGAGCCAGTCTGCAGAGGTGCAGAGATGAACAGACGTGGCTACACATAACTATGGTGGGGGCTATATATGGGCTGTATTCATGCTTTGCAGTGGAAATATGGAAGGAAGGTGATTAACACCTGTGGGCAGGGGCAGGAACCCTCATGTGGAGTAGAAGCCAAGGTGATCCAGACACCAGGAGCAAGATGACAGCAGTATAGAGATGGGAGGGGAGGGTTATGGTGTATTGGGGAATGGCGGCTCCTCAGAGCACAGGTTGGCAAACTACGGCTCGTTTGCCAAATTCAGCCTGCCACCTGCCTTTGTATGGTCTGGGAGCTAAGAATGTGTTTTACATTTTTAATGGTTGAAAAAGAATATTTCATGACACATGAAAAGTGTATGAAATCGAAATTTCAGTGTCCATAAAGCTTTAATGGAACCCTCTCCTCATTGGTTTACATTTTGTTTATGGTGGCTCTTACACTGTAACTGCAGGGGTCAGCAGTGTGTCGGAGACCGTATGTGGTGCCCTTCTTGCTTGGCATTCCTGTTCCATGTACTACAAATTGTGATGACACAGTTATAACTTGACAGTGTTTCCAGTACTGGGTGTATCAGCATATCAAGTTGTTTTATTTATTCTTTATTACCAGTGCCTACCGATCATGTCAGAACAAGAGAGGAAGGGAAAAATGGATTTTGAATGTTGTGTCCTTAGGGCATGTGCCAGTGGAGTGTGAATTATTTTGTTATCAAACTAGGTGGCAAAGCTGTCTTTAATAAAAGCTGTGCTGGGGTGCCTGGCTGGCTGAATCAGTGGAGCATGCACCTCTTTGATCTCCAGGTTGTGAGTTCAAGCCCCATGTTGGGTGTAGAGATTACTTTAAAAAAAAAAAAAAAAGGAAAAAAAAAAGAGAACTCTGCTGAAAGGATCAGCAGAAAGGATCAACATTACCAGACTAGTTGTTAAAATGGCCCCAACTCATAGAAAGGCAATGGTCAGAAAAGTTAGAAATTTTGATCTTAACCAAAAGGCCGAGAAACAATAGACATTTTTAAGGGACTGAGGCACCTGGGTGGCTCAGTCAGTTAAGCGTCCACCTTCAGCTCAGGTCATGATCTCATAGTTCGTGGGTTTGAGCCCCATGTCGGGCTCTGTGCTGACAGCTCGGATCCTGGAGCCTGCTTTGACTTCTGTGTCTCTCTCTCTCTCTCTCTGCCCCTCCCCTGCTCACTCTCTGCCTCTCTCGCTCAAAAATAAACAAACATTTTAAAAAAGGAAATTTTAAAGGGACTGTTTCATCACAGCAGCATTTCTTCACAAAAATTAAAATGAGGCTGCAACTAAAGTAAGTTTCCCAAGTGGCTTATTTATTAGCTAACCAAGGAAAGCCACTTACCAATATTGAGCTAATTAAATTGTGTTTGATTGCAGCAGCTGAAGAAATGTATCTAGAGAAAACAAACATATTTAAAAGTGTTAGCCTTTCGGCAAGAATAATTTCTCAAAGTGCTGAAGTCCTTGGGAGCAGTGTAAGCAGTCAGGAAACAAGGCAGGTGATTCCACTTGGTCTCCTTGGCTCTTGATGAGTCCACAGACCCTCCTGTTCCTGTTTAGCTGGTTTCTGCGTGGAGTCAATCCCTCGTTTGAAGTGACTGAAGAATTACCATTAGTGAATGGTCTGTTTAAAACCGTGACCGCTGAGAATATTTTCAGAAAAGTTAAACTCAGGACAACCTGAAGTATGATCTGCTAATATCTGTTACAACTCATGATGGTAAGAATATGTGTGGAGCAGAGAAAGATTTCACTGGACAGATTTGCAAAGCTTATGAAATTATGTTTAAAGCCTGTGGTTATTCGTTGTATTATTCATCAGCAGGTACTTTGCAGAAAAATATTTGAATCTATCATGTGTTATTGAACCATTAGAATCAGCAGTGAACTTCACTCCCTCTTGTAGACTTCACCATGATCAATTCCATGAATTTCTGTTAAGAAAAAGAAGCTGAATATTCTGACGCCCTACCACGCAATAGTTTGACGGCCTAGCAGTGGTGAAGTTTTCTTATAATTTTGAGTTCAGGGCTGACCTCAAAATGTTTCTGAATGAGAAGAATCCTTTTTAACCACCATTGAACACTGACTAGCTTTGGAGATTGGCTTTTCCTGCGGACTTGATAAGGTTTCTTAATGAATTCAGCCTAAAATTACAGGGCAAAAGGTTATTTGCAAACCTTAAATTGCAATACAGTCATTTCAACAACTCATGTTTGAGTCCAGTCCGGCTACTTTATATACTTCCTGTGTGGTGTCAAAAGTTGAAACAAAGGCAAGATCTCCGTTTCTACACAAAGTTTCTGTGGAGATGATTTCTAACGAAAAACTACAGTTCTCATGGTGATTTGGCAGCTTGATGTGAATGCAACAGAAGTTTCATATTTCAAAATCCATTTACCTGTGTAACTAAGGAGTTTACACCAAACCTTCATCCAGAAGCGATTAAAAGGCAAATATCAAGACTCCAAAATACTATAAATATCTTCTAAGAGAAGAATATGCTCAATTAAAATCATGCTTATGGGGGAAAAAAACGCTCATGGAATGATAACAGCATTTGGCAGAACCTATCTATGTGAAGAGACATTTTCAAAGATGAAATATATAAAGTCTTATTACAGAATCTGCGTTAGCAGAGGAACATTTACAACCAATTTGATGAGAGGGATGCTTAACAAATATTCCACCCACCTCCAAAATCTGATCTCATTAGTAGACCTCTATTGTAGCCAGTTATTATATTTTGAATTTCATCAATAAAAAAATGTGGAAGTTTGTTTTCTTTCTTGTTATGTTAGTGTATAATACTCCCAATTTGGCCTCTTGGCCTTCAGAATCTAAAACCCTTACTGTCTGGTCCTTTACAGAAGAAATTTATTGACCCTGCTCTAGAGTCTGGTGTTGGGAAAGGGAGCAGGTTGTGGCGGTAGGCAGGTAGAGTCAGAGAGACCATGCAACACACTGTTCTAGAAGCAGTGGGGAACTAGATTTAGATTAGAACACCAGCTCCTTTCTCCCCATTGCCTCTAAACTTATATTGTCTTTCACCTCTGATACTTTTCTGTGTATTTAGGTTGTTTATTCTCACACTTTTCCCCTGGAGAGTGAAACACCCAAATTGATAAATCTATTAAGTAAGAAAACTTGGTGTAGGATTTAAAGTTTCGTTGGAAATTGAACTGGTAGCAGTTTAGCACTTGATTTATCACCTCCTTTGGAGTGATATAACTTAACTGAACTTCTTGTTAATTCTTCATGTGCTAACACTTATCAGTGGAGCAAGTGATTAAATTTAGATTTCCAATAGCCTGTTACTTAGAATTTTGGAAAATAAAAATAATCCAGTAATTCTTGAAAGTATTTGATTTTGTTTTTGTTTTTAATGTTTGTTTATATTTGGGAGAGACCGAGCACAGGCTGGGGAGCAGCATAGAGAGGGGGAGACACAGAATCTGAAGCAGGCTCCAGGCTCTGAGCTGTCAGCACAGAGCTTGATGTGGGGCTCAAATTCATGAATCGAGATCATGACCTGAGGCAAAGTCAGACGCTTAACCGAATGAGCCACCCATGTGTCCCAGTATTTGATTTTTTTAAAAAAAGTGGACGCACATATTTGATTTTAAAAGTTTTTAGAGCCTGGATGTCTCAGTTGGTTGAACATCTAACTCTTGATCTCAGCTCAGGTCATGATCTCGGGGTCATGAATTCAAGCCCTGCATTGGGCTCTGTGCTGAGCGTGGAGCCTTCTTAGAAAATAAAAATTGGGATGCCTTGGATGGCTCAGTCAGTTGAGCGTCTGACTTCAGCTCAGTTCATGGTCTCATGGTTTGTGAGTTCAACCCATATCAGGGTTGCTGCTATCAGCATGGAGCCCACTTCAGATCCTCTGCCTTCCTCGCTCTCTGCCCCTCTCCCACTCATGCTCTCTCAAAGATGAATAGACATTAAAAAATAATTAAAAGCAAAAAATTTTTTTAATAAAAGCTTTTAGAGAGAAGAATTGATTGTTGGGTAAAGCAGTTTAACAATATGGTAAATACATTATGATTAAATCTGTAAAACTACTGAGAAAATTTATTACCAAAAGGCTAACAGTTTTATTCATGGGATTAAGGGCAATTTTGCCCGTTTCTCCATTTCCCCAATTTTTTGTAAGTGGGCATGTGACTTTCATAATTTTTTATATTTATAAATAAACCATAACTAGGAAAATTGATGTCCTGAAAAGGAGTGAAAGATAGCTTTTATTTAAACTCAGTTCCCAGTGGGGGAAACGGGAAGGCACTGCTTAGTGAAGGTGAAGCTCTGACCAGTCATGTGTCCCTCCAAGCTTTGTTCATCCCTTCTGCTGGCTGAAGGCATGACTTTCTCTCAGACCTCTTACTTCCCCAAGGCCTGCGTGGTTTCTGGACTCATTCTGTCAGTAGTAGCTCACTGAGGTCTTGCAGTCCGAAACTAGTCTGTTACTGCTTTTACCCTTGAGTGCAGGTCTTCCTGAGAGGTGGGAGTGTGAAGGATTGAGTCTTGTGGGCCTTGTGCCCTCCCCAGAGTTTGGATGGAGGGGAGTGAGTAGTTGGTGTGTTTTCCTTCCTTGGTTAGACCCTAGGACTTCTTGGGCTTCTTGAGAACTGGTTGAATTAAAGAAAGTGTCAACTTAGTTTCTTAGATTTATACTTTCAAACCTTTAAGATGAAGAGATGGACTGGAGCTTAACAGCAACAGTTGTGCATTTCCACTGAAAATGTGTTTCATTTTAATCCATGAAAATAGAAAAGTGATTTCTAAGTGGTTTTCTCCTTGCTTCCTGGGTACTGCATTGCCGGTTGGCACAGGATTAGAGTGGGAGAGGGAGAGTGGGAAGTTCTGCCCAAACGTTCTAGTTCCTAGGTAGCAGATAATACAGTTCCATTACTTTAGCAAAAGGTTAAAATTTTCTCTTCTCTGATTGTAGTTGGTTGAAAGTGGGCTCTCTGCCTTCATAAATTGGTCACTCAGCCCCTTCTCCTGAGGGGCTTTTCTGCAGGAAACTTTGCGCTGTGTGCTGAGTTACAGGTTTCCTGCATGTGGTACTTTTTACAAGGGGATAGGATTAGGCTTTCAGCTCTCAATGCTCTGCTTGCTGGTGGCATCACAAAGCTGCTGCCATTGTTTTGTGGGCTTTCCCTTTCTGTGACTTCATTTCTTGTATTCATTCAGCAAACTACTCCGTTTTCACTTGCTGTCAAGGATTTTATAATCTAGTAGTAGAGAAAAATGTACAGATCATTAATATGCAGTACAGGATAAAGGCTACAAAAATGTCTAGAGAAAATGTTGCCAAAACTTAGCTGGGATAACGGGCAGAAAGGGGAGGATAGGTGGAAGTCAAGGAGGGGGTCATGGAGGTGGTGGCATCAGGTTTCTTACCATTGAATTCAGCCTTGAGAGATTTCTACAGGTAAGGAAGGGGACAGGAACAAAGGCAGGAAAGTTAAAGATCTATTTGCAAGACACCAAGGACTCCAGTTTTAGCAGCTGAAATGGAGAGTAATCAAGGGAAATAACGGCTGGGAAAAAAAATATTGGGCCAGAGGTATAGGGCTTGGAATGTGAGGCTGAATAGTTGGTGTTGATCCAGGGCTGCTGGGGGAAACTGAAGGCTTTTAAAAAAGTGAGAATTAAATTTGGGCTCTCTGAAGAATAATGAGTGCTGTGGACAGGGGAGAGGTACCAAGTCCCTGGCCTGTGACTTAAGGTGAGGTTATTTGTTGCTTCCATATCTGTCCTCTGTGGTATCCCTGGCATCTGTGTGTGACACTGTGGACATGGCTGCCCCAAGCAAGCAGTCTCACCAGGACTCTCTTCTCAAAGAGGACAGACTATGCCCAGGGTCAGGGTTACCACATCTTTAGAGTTCTTCCGCTGGCTGCCTCCCTAGTTTTTCACTAGGCACTGATACGAAGCAGACAGGGGCCACTCAGTGTTGCCAGATTAAGCAAATAAAAATACGGGATGTTAGTTAGATTGGAATTTCAGATAATGGATACATTTTTAGTATAACTGTGCCCTGTGAAATATTTGGTTTCTCTGAAATTGCAATTTAAGTGGGTGTCTTGTTTAATCTGACACTCCTAACCACCTTCATTCTTCTCTGCTCCTGGCCCTGCATTCTGCTTCCTCTTCTCCCATTTTCCATCTGTTACCTCCTGAGTTAGTCTCCTAGTGGGTCCAGAGTCAGATAGAGTATGTGCTGTCCAGGAGGAGATCAGTCTAGTCGTTTGGAGGATGGGTGTCCCAACTCAGTGCCAGGGTTTGGGACATGTGTGCAGCATGAGGTACAGCTTTCTGTCTAACCAGGCAGGAAGAAAGACCTTGTGTTCCAATGTCAGAAGGGACAGGAGAATATCAGGCCCTCCGGAGACTTCCAGGTTTCTGCTTGGTGTCTCAGAATGTACCCGGGGCCCAGAGATGATGTGCCTGCAGTTTGGCTCCTCCCACACCTTCTCCTCCTCTCCCTTTCCAGTTGTCCCAGCTACTCACATGCCACAAACATGCATGGAGCTCCTGGACCCAGACATACTCTTTCTGAGCTCATACTAAGCCCTTTGCCTACAACACCCTGCCCACATTCTTTATCCATCAGCACCTCCCCATTTCCCTTCCTCTGTCCCAGCCTGGACCCCGTGCTCTGGGCCAGCAAAGAACCCTCAGCAAACCTCCCTCATAACCTTCTCCACACTTGATTGATTCTGCCTGTTACTTGTATGTCTCTCCATGAGAGTATGGGCTGACCAGGACCTGGGTCTTCACTAGTGTCTCCACTGCCTACCAGTATGCCTGTACCCAGTGGATGCTCATTAGATACGTGCCAAACGAACAGCAGACTCTTTTCAGAATGTTTACTGTCCCTTAAGCCCTTGTTTATGTCCCTCAGAGAGTACCCAATTCCAGCCTCCCCTGACCCAGTATATACACCTGGACATTTCACACCTCAAGGCTGACTGGGTTTTTTAGCACATTTTATTAGCATTAAAGTAAACCCAGCAGGAAAATCTCAGCCCTCAACCTGCCTGTCCCTACACCTTCCATATGCCCAGACCAGCAAGGCCTCAGGTGTCCTGGCATGAGCCAAAGACACAGCCGCAGCCTCTCCCCTTTGTCCCTGCCTTCTAGCCCTTCTAGCTTCTGGTGCTGCTCCAGGCCTGGACAGTTGCTTCAGGTCAGGTGGTGGTTCCCTCCATGCCCTCTTTTGCACACAATCTTCTATACCTTCTGGAACCATCTCCTCACTGGCATCAAATGCCCCTTATCAAGTCATTTATTGCCTGCATTGTTAGGGCTTGAGGGAATGAGTAAAGAGAACCACATTGTCTGCCTCCGGCGCGTTCCCCCGCTCCCCCAAGCCTAAGAAACCCTTCACCTGGATACGTAGAGTGAGCAAAGCACAGATGGATGGCATGTTCTGTAAGGGGGTAAGTGGGTCTGGGGCCCTCCACTGGGTGGTGCATGGGACAGTGATGTGTTGGGGTGTCTTGGCCACTACATGAAAAGCAGAGGAGAGGGACAAAGGTCAGGAGGAGGTCCAAAGGACAGTGTCCCGAAATCCCCAGGTTAGGATGTAAACAGCACTAGCTGCTGCAGGTACTCAATTATGAGCGTATGGGGGGCAGGCAAGGCTGACAGGGGCGGGGGGGTCTCTTCAGATGCTTCTGTAAAAAGGAGCTTCTTCCCAGACACCCGTATGGTGCTAGGAAGGGTCTCTGAGGGAAAGTAGGCAGGCAGGACAGGAATTTCCTGATTCAGTAGGTTAGAGGGAAGCCTCTGTGACTTGGGCTTTCAGCTGCAAAGCATCACCCTCTCCAGACCCCAGCCTGGAGCCCCAGCACCGCTCCTGGGACAGGTGAGACCTCCAGGGGTTGGCAGGCAGGCCTGGGCACAGCAGACCCTGCAGGAAGTTTGGGAGAGGCTCCTCATGTTCTTGTTTCAGCCCTTTGCCTGTGATCAGTGGTTCGGTCTGGGAAACCTCAGAGAACTAAGCTGTCGATTCAGCCCTCTGCTGGCGACCACGGCAGATGGCTGACCGCTGAGGGCCCTTGTGGTCTGTGATTCCTGCTCTTCAGGCTGCCTTGGGACCTGGGTTCTGGATGGGATCTGGACACTAAGGTCCATCCTTAGCTCTGGGCCTCTGCTGGTGTCCTAACGGAATTAGCACCCCCGAGTAGGGCCCTCAGAGGACTTGGTGGCTAACTGATTGCTGGGAAGCAGGGGGCTTAAGTCTCTGCTCCTGGCCCGCCCTGCGTGGGGGCTCTCCCTGCAGGTACCTGAAGGAGTTCCGCACGGAGCAGTGTCCACTCTTTGTGCAACACAAATGCACTCAGCACCGGCCCTACACCTGCTTCCATTGGCACTTCGTGAACCAGCGACGTCGCCGGTCCATCCGCCGTCGGGACGGCACCTTCAACTACAGCCCCGACGTCTACTGCACCAAGTACGACGAGGCTACGGGCCTCTGCCCGGAGGGCGACGAGTAAGTGCCCTCCGCCTCCCCAGCCTGCCCTCAGAGGAGTCTCACATTTCCTGGGTCAGATACCCTCAGAATAGGCCAGGCAAGTCTGAGAAGCCAGCCATTGGGCAGCTTCTGGGGAGACGGCTGCATCCTGGCGCACCTTCCTGTGGCCTGGACCTGGGCTCAGACCCTGCCGTCCTCTGGGGGAGGCCCCTTCTTCTTTACCTGCTTTTTGGAAACCCTATACAGACTTTTCTTCTGCCAAGCAGAAGTGTAGAAAAGGCAGACCTGAGGACATCACTGAGAGGGAACGCTTGTTCATCCTGCTTGTTTGAACCTTGCAGAGGCAGTAACGGGAAGCACTGTTGGGGGTCTGGGTACAAATCACTGAACCGCCCCTGCACGTCTTCTCCCAGAGGTTCAAGTCTTGTTCCCCCTCTCAGGCCCCAGTCTAATATAGCACTGGGGCAGGAGAGGGTGTGCGCGTGCTGTGAGCAGGCCGTTTCTCTGTGGACCTCTGCGGATCCAGCCAGCACTTGCTGTCCCCCAGGAGTGTGCCCCTCTCTGGAGCTTCATGCAAGTCAGCTCAGGGCCCTGACCGAGGAGCCTTTGAGAGGATGGGCTGAGCAGGCTGAAGTGGGAATTCTGGGCCCTGAGGGCTACAGCGCCTGCCAGATGGTGGGACGGTGGCTCTGTTATGTTAGCAGAGCTCCTTGCTGCTGGCCTCCTCGACCCACTCTCCATGCGCCACCTGGGTCCTGGGGAGAGCCTGCGACAGGGAGGGTAGGGAAGGGTGAGGCCTGACTTCCCAGGCCATAGGGGCAAAGGTGAGTGAGCCTCCCCCCCCCCCGAACCCCCCGATGTTTCAGGTGCCCATTCCTGCACAGGACCACAGGGGACACTGAGCGCAGGTACCACCTGCGCTACTACAAAACTGGAATCTGTATCCACGAGACAGACTCAAAAGGCAACTGCACCAAAAACGGCCTGCACTGCGCTTTCGCCCACGGGCCCCATGACCTCCGCTCCCCTGTCTACGACATCAGGTGGGCTGGATGCCATGCTGGGCTGATAGCTGGGGGCCTGGCTGCTGACCCGGTGAGTCCCACGAATGGAGTGCAGGGCTGGCACTCTGCTTCTCCCCTCATGCCTCGTCCCTGCTCTCCTTTCCTCCCAGAGAGCTCCAGGCCATGGAGGCCTTGCAGAACGGCCAGACCACAGTAGAGGGCAGCATAGAGGGCCAGACTGCTGGGGCTGCGAGCCATGCCATGATAGAAAAAATCCTCAGTGAGGAGCCTCGGTGGCAAGGTAAAGGTGGTCCCACAAGTGGCCATGCCTCCTCCTGCCAGATGTCTGTCCTCTCTCTTCTCTTGCCCATAGTTGCCCTAAGGATTTGGCCCACCACCGCCCTTTCATCCCATCTTCTATCCAGCCACAGTCCGGTCATTTGGGGGCACTTCTGGGGAGTTTCCCCAGATATACCTTGTCTATTCCCATCACTCCAGGCGCTCCCCGAATTCTTCAGGGGACTTTCCTATGTACGTACTTAGGAATATTTACATACACATATACATGTGTTCTTGACCCTCCTGAGATTGCCCTTTTTTACCCTGTGAGCTGTATCTCCAGTAGGGGATGGTTCTTACCTCTCTCCTGGGTCTCAGTCTTGGCGTTGGCACATGAGGAGGTGGCCTGAGCTCCTGGACCCCTTCCCACGTGGCTGCTTCTTCCCCTTCTGCCACATCTGCCTGACCCCTGCCTCTGGCTCCCTGTGTAGAAACTGCCTATGTGCTGGGGAACTATAAGACGGAGCCGTGCAAGAAGCCCCCGCGGTTGTGCCGCCAGGGTTATGCCTGTCCCTACTACCACAACAGCAAGGACCGGCGGCGGAGCCCCCGGAAACACAAATACAGGTCCTTTGGCCCAAGCAGGCCAGCCATGGGAGGGAGGGGTGGCAGGGAAGGGATCATGGCGGGGGCTGCTTCCAGTATGTTCCCGGTGAGGCAGGGAGGCCAGCCCTAGGGATTACAGGATTGAAGGGCCCAGGTACAAGGGGAGGGAATAGTCAGGACAACTGAATGATGGGGAGTCTGCTGGGATCCTCTTCTGCCATGAAATGAGGTTCTTGGATCAGACGATCTCTAAGGCTCCTCCAGTTCTGATTCTGAGGGGTGACTGCTGGGGCTAAGCTATGGTCTGGAAAGTATGGTTCTGGCTATAGCCTGGCTCTCCTGGGGCTGCAGAGTACTTGGTACGAGGACCCGGCAGAAGGGGACCAAACAGTGTTATTTTTGCTGATACAGCCATACTCCTCCAGAGAAGCAGAGCCTGGCTTCTGGCCCCAGGAAAGTTCTCACTCTGTAGCTCCTCTTTTGTCTTTGTGAGCCTAGCCCTGTGAAGCAGGGAGACCAGAGAGGAGCCTTTAACAGGCCTCTAGTTGGCATTCCCCAGATCCCAGTGTCTCCCTCTCTCACATCCCTCTGACCCCACCATCTCATTGGACCAGGTCATCTCCATGTCCAAACGTGAAACACGGGGATGAGTGGGGAGACCCCGGCAAGTGTGACAATGGAGATGCCTGCCAGTACTGCCACACCCGCACGGAGCAGCAGTTCCACCCGGAGGTATGCCTTGGAGTAGGGGCCAGGCCCTTTGATGGCTGTGGGTGGCTTAACATACCCTCTTTGGGAAACCAGGAAAAAGGAAAAGAGGGTCTGGGCAGATGTGGGTGGAACTCACACTGATACCATCCAGGCCTCCCTAGGCAGTGCTTGAGGAGCCCTGTACCTTAACTGGGTAACTTGCCTTGTCTTGAGCCCACAGTCACCGAGCAGCCCCCTTGCTCCCAATTTTGTTTCTTCCTCTCACCCCGTGGCCTCCTGACAAGGAGGGCATGGACTGGGCTTAGTTACCTGGCCATTCTGGACTTGGTATCACTCATGGTGTTTAGAATCCAATGACATCAATTTTAATAAGAAAGCCCCTTCCAGCTGTTTTGTTTGAGATCAGAGCTTACAGTACCAGCAACCCAGCTCACTGGCCCCATGGTGTAGCCTTGGGCCACATCGGTGTGCCAGGATCTGGTATAGGGTACATAGAGGCACATGCTGTCCCTGCCTATGGGTTCATGGAGGCTGGAACATCCGGAGATAGACCTATGGACAGAGGCCACCTTGTATGGGTTGCAGACAGCCAGGTGGAAAGTTAAACGTAGATCCTAACCCAGGGTGGTTGAGGGATGCTGCCTCTGATCTTGGCTCCCTTAATGCCCAGAGAGACATTCACAGGTCACAGCCCTGGCCAAGACCCTGAGTGGAGAAGCAGCATGAAGATCCCTTTGTGAGGGCCAAAGCAGGGCTGGTTGAACCTGTGACCCAAGAAGCGGGGGGTGTCCTTAGCATGGGGATGGTCATACCTGCTTCAGGAGTTTAAATAAGAACTCAGTAGGGAGAGAGTTAGGGAAGTGGCATGGATTGGGGCCGAGAAAGGAGATTACGAAGCTAACCCTCCCATCTTGAAGGCACCCATGCCTGCCTGTCCCTCTCTGCCTCAGCCTGATGTGCCTCTGCTCTGCCCTCCAGATCTATAAATCCACCAAGTGCAACGACATGCAGCAGTCGGGCAGCTGTCCCCGAGGACCTTTCTGCGCCTTTGCCCACGTAGAACGTATGCTGTTCCCTTTCCTCTCTCTACCCTCTCCTCCCCTCACCCTCTCCTCAGGCTCAGTCAGAGGAGTGGCCTCTCATTTGCCAGCCAGCAACGGGCTCTGTCCTCACTGGAGGTTCAGTACCCCCCCACGCACATACCCTTTAAGGAACTGGCCTTAAAGCCCTGGAGTTTCCAAGGTCGTGAGACAGAGCAGGACCAGGCCCCTGGTCAGGCACTCACAGTCACAGGCAGGATGAGGCACCCTTCCAGAGCCAACTAGGAAGATCTCAGCAGCCACCCCATGCCCCTTCCATGGCAGATGTCCCTAACTGAACATGGCACTCTGTCCTGCTGAGAGCAGGGCTGTCCAATCAAAATATAATGCAGCCCTTCTTGTGTCATCTTAGATCTTCTAGTAACTATATTTTTTTTAAAAAAGGCAAAAGAAATAGGTTAAATTAATTTTAACATCCTTTTACTTAACCCAATATAAAATATCATTTCAAAAAAAATTAGTGTAAAACATCAAGGTATTTTACTTTTTGTGTGTGTGTCCAAACTAAGTCTTTGAAATCTATTGTGTAATTGAGAACTGCAGCACATTTCAGTTCAGACCAGCCCTGTCATGAGTGCTGGCTAGCCGCCTGTGGCTCACAGCTACTGGACAGCCAGGCTCTCGGCCCTCACATCGTGCTCTCGACCACCACCACCCGTCTTAGAGATGGGGCTCAAGTCGAAACCCTTGTCAACTAGAATCCACTGCTCCGGTTGTCCTTACCAGAGTCTTCTCAGGCTCAGGGCTTATCTCTGGAATTAGAGTCAAAAATAAGCGGAGGGCCCTAGGAAGGGGAGTGTTCGTGGCACACAGGTCGTCACTAGCCATGGGCAACTGGGACCACCAACTGAGGCCACACAGAGAAGTAATTAGTGGCTCAGGCTTTGGAGTAGTACAGGTCAAGGTACAAATCCCAACTCTTCTGTTTCCTAGCTCTGTCACCTAGGGAGATTAACTTCTCTGAGCCTCAGTTTCTGTATCTGTGAAATGGAGACCCTGATCTTATTTGTATCTTCTAGTCATTGTGAAGATTCACAGTTAATGCTGTGGCACAAAGTAAGCACACAGTACATAACTGATAGAAATAAGGGAGGAGCCTTATTTACATACAGGGGGTGCCTGGTCTCCTTTGGAAAAGACCCCGATGTGTGTGGTTTGGAGGTACAGAGTAGGCAAGGAGCCTGCCTACAGCCTGACCCTGTCTCTTGCAGAGCCACCCCTCAGTGACGACCTGCAACCTTCCTCAACTGTGTCCAGCCCCACTCAGCCAGGTCCTGTCTTGTACATGCCATCTGCTGCCGGAGACTCGGTGCCCGTGAGCCCCTCCAGCCCGCATGCCCCTGACCTCAGCGCTGTACGTGCCTATCCAGGGAGCGGGTGGGCACCATGCCTAGCCAGGAGTCAACACCTGCCTCTAATGCTCCCAGTGCCCTCTCAGCCTGTGCTTGGAGGAGGGGGCCCTGGTATTTTGCCTCAGGCCAAGGAGCTCTGCCCTTTCTGCCCCACAGTCTTTCTGTCAAAATCTCCTGGTGGGGGCCCCCAGAGCCTGTGCTGGTCAGCCTGGAGAGAGTGGGTAGAAGGGACAGAAGCCTTTGGTCACAGTCCCCCCATAACTTCCTCATGAAAACTGCCCTGCGTGGTAGTGCTGCCCACTGGCAGATGCAAGTAGAGCCAAGCCCCTTGCTGAAGACGCTCCCTCTGTGGAGGGGACGGAGGATGGGCCATGGCCTAGCCCACATTTTGCCCACCAAGCTACTCCCTCTCTTCTCTGCAGCTCCTCTGTAGAAACAGCAGCCTAGGCAGCCCATCTAACCTCTGTGGCTCCCCCCCGGGCTCCATCAGGAAGCCCCCGAGCCTGGAAGGCATTGTCTTCCCTGGGGAGTCTGGCCTTGCCCCTGGCAGCTATAAGAAGGCTCCTGGCTTTGAGAGGGAAGACCAGGTGGGAGCCGAGTACCTGAAAAATTTCAAATGCCAGGTAAGGGATGCAAGGGGAAGTCCAGTGAGGTTAGCCTTCTCCTGCAGGGGCAGGAGAAGCCCTGGAGGGCTGTCCTGGCCTGGCTGTGGGGAACATGACTAGGAGCTGGGACACCCTTGTCCTCAGCCTCTTCGACACTGAGCAGAGTGAGGGAGCCCATCCCATTTTACAGATGAAAACAGGAAAGTTAGCATGGCCAGGCACTTAGCCTCTCACAGAGCCAGTTAACAGAGGAGCAGGGACTCCACCCTTGGTCTTCTGACCCCACATCTGGTCTTTTCCCTGCCTTATGGTGCGTTGATAGAGTGGCAGGGCCTTGGGGAACAGGAAAGAGTGTCCCTAACTGGACTTCTCTGTGGCGTGGAGTCACCAGGGAGGAGGGGAACAGCTCCCCTGGTTCCTAGAGTAGGGAACAGAGTAGGGGTGGGGAGGGAGAGCAGGGTACGTGTGAGAGAGAGAGAGAAAGGGGGACTGGGTGACAGGTACCTGCAGCCTCAGTGGGCCGTGGCAGGTTGATGCTTGGGAAGACTCCTGTACTCGGGCCCTTCCTAGCACCACATGCATCCCATGCTCCCCGACTTTTCTTTCTCAGGCCAAGTTAAAACCCCACTCACTAGAGCCCAGAAGCCAAGAGCAGCCTCTACTTCAGCCCAAACAGGTATATGGCTCTCAGCCCCCTTCCTCCCCTTCTGGTACTCCTGCTGTTGACGGGACAGGCCCAGAACCCCAGGCCTCTGGGAGGGGGGGGCCACTGCTTTCCCCATAACTTGAGAGCAGGACTAAGGTGGGGTCCCAGCCCCAAATCTAGAGAGGTGAGGGTCAGGCCCCGCAACCCCTTAACCTCCTGGACTCACTCATCAGCTGGTCAAAAAACAGTTCTTGAGCATCTGTACTCTGTCAGGCGCTGGACTCGCTTCTCCTTTCCCTGACTGTAGGACTCTAGCCTGTAAGCCACAGCTGTCCAACTCCAGCCTTGTGGCAAGGTTGTTGAGTGGCTAGGGTCCCATCTGAGCTTGGGGGCAACTGGACGAGCCCTGGGTCGCACCATTTCCTTCCCGGGCTTGGTCATGACTCCCATGAGCGGGCGTCCCATTGTCTCTCCTCACTCTCTCTTTGCAGGACATGCTGGGCATCCTTCCTGTGGGCAGCCCCCTGACCTCAAGCATCTCTTCTAGTATCACCTCCAGCCTGGCAGCTACGCCCCCTAGCCCCGCTGGCACCAGCAGCGTCCCTGGCATGAACGCAAATGCCCTGCCTTTCTATCCCACCAGTGACACGGTAGAATCAGTCATAGGTAATTAGGCCATTTCTGTTACCAAGATCAGGACTGGGTCTGCGGTCAGAGAAACTAGCTCTCTGGAGTGAGATTCAAACCAGTGTGCTTGTCACTGTAGCCATTAGCCTTGGGAGAGTCGGAAGGTGGGCACCCTGAGCCCTTTGACCTAAAGGGAAAATGAGCCCAGGAGGTAGGGCCAGGACTAGCCCTTATAGCAAATTAGCTATTGCTCTGTCGTGCAAATTACAAAGTGCTGCCTCTTCTCTTGGACAGAGGCAGCCTAATTCCATGACATAGATCACTTGGCCCTCATTCCCTCACTAGGTATCTGTGTGGCAGACAACCGCCCTTCTCTGTCAGCAGCCCTTTATTCGTGTCACTTTGTGGCAGGTCGTATTTCAGACACCGGGATGTCAAGAGTTGCAGACAGGATGTTCCTGCTCTCGAGGAGGAGGGACATTGCTCCCAGCCTCCCAGTCTAGTTCAGCAGAGGGCAGTGGGTATATGTCAAGCATCTACCATGCATTAGCCACTGAGGGCCCAGTGATGTTTCCCCCACCCTGAGAACTCAGGAATGAGACATACAAGCTGTAACATCAGGAGACGAGACCTCTGTCAGAGGCAGGGACCCTGCGCTGGGCCCCACGAGGTATCAGAGAAGGCTTTGGGAGAGAGAGCCATTCGAACCAGACGTGGCGTGGCAGACAACACAGGGCGTCCATGTTGGCAGAGGAGCAGCCCGACAGGCAGAGGCTTGAGAGCCTGGGTCTAGTGGGACTGAGTGTGAAGAGGAGGCAGTAGAGGGAGGTGGGTCTTGGAGACGAGTCCCAGAACCTTGGGTTCACGTGGCCCCCCGGGAGGCAGGGAGGCTCACTTACTGATCTCTTTCCCCAGAGTCTGCCCTGGATGACCTGGACCTGAATGAGTTTGGGGTGGCTGCCCTAGAGAAGACTTTCGATAACAGCACGGTGCCCCACGCAGGCAGCATCACAATTGGTACTGGGCAGTGGGTGGGCAGCGCGTGAGGGAGGGCTCTTAGGGGTCCAGCCTGGCCCAGGGTGGGCACACAAGCTGTCCCCGGCTTACGTGGCTCTGTGTGGCTTGCCCTGCCCTCACTGGGCCCTCTGGGGCCTCTCTTCCAGGCGGCAGTCTGCTGCAGAGCTCTGCGCCCGTGAACATCCCTGGCTCCTTGGGCAGTTCTGCTTCCTTCCACTCAGCATCCCCGTCCCCTCCTGTCAGCCTCTCCTCGCATTTCCTGCAGCAGCCCCAGGGTCACTTGAGCCAGTCAGAAAACACATTTTTGGGGACCTCAGCATCACATGGATCTTTGGGTAAGAGGGGGTATGTCTCTCCGGGGCAGCAGGGTCTGGGCTTTTGGAAAGTGCTTTTGGCCACTTTGTCCACAGCCAGAGGCAGTGCAGAAGTGGTGGTTGGAGCGGGGACTCTGAGCTCAGAGGTGGGTCAAGTCCGTGTCCCATGATTCCCTTCTCTGGGTACACCTGGACAAGTTTCCTATGCTTTAACGTTTGTATAAATAATGGCAGCAACCTCCTTATACAGAGGGTGCAAGGCTTAAACGAAATTATGTGAGTGAAGTGCCGGGCCCAGGGGCCGGTGTGCCACGAGACGCGGTGACCTCAGTCTCCCGGGCCTGGGTCTGCTGATCACGCCAGGGCGTTCTACACAGTCACCCAGAGCTCTGGGAGGCTGGCTCATGACAGCCAGCTTCCCAAGACACAAAGGGAGAATTGTGCACAGGCTTACCCCAGGCTTAAGGTGGCCTTCCTGGAAGCAGAGGCACCAGACAGACCCAGCTGTGACCCTAAAGGCTGTTTGCTGAACCTGAGAATTAGAATGGTATGGACTGGGGGTTCTAGAATGCACATCACATCACAGTGGCTAGAAGTGGGGCCTGGCAAGCTGCAGGCTCCACCACCCCGGGCAGGGTACCCTCTTGTGGGCGGGCTGGCATGAGTACTCACTGAGGTAATGAGTACCCAGAGCGCCCAGCTCACTGCCTCTCAGACAGCAGCTCCTAGTCTTAGTTCCCCTCCCCCAGCAGCTGTTAGAGAAGATCAGAAACAACCTCTCCTGAGGGCGCTGGGCTTTCTGGTCACAGTAAGCCTGAGCCTGCAAGCCAACTGTTGATATCCTGACCAGAGATCAGGGCAACACGTTGATTTCTAAGCTTCTTTCCAGTTTTGAAGGTGGCTATTCCATTTTACGGTGATTCTGTCAGCTTCAGATGCTTTGTGTCACATTTGTCTGACTTGTTCATATTCTGGAAGCATCTTGACTGTACCCCTTCTTACTGGCCACACATTCATTCCTTTCATTCCTCTCCATGTACTTATCGGGCAGAGTTTTATAGAGTGTGAGCTCAACAGTCCCTCCTGCCACGGAGCTGTGGTCTAGTCAGGGAGGCAGACGTGCATGGACACTAGGGCCTACCCAGGGACTGTCACTCTTGTGTGGAGTCAGAGGCCCGGCTTTGTGATTCAGAATAGTAGAGGGAACCTGACCTGGGCATGGTCAAGAGAGGAAGTGCCACCTGAGTGCGGAGGGAGGTGCGTGGGAAGAGCTTGCGGCCGGGACCACGCTTCGTTGGTCTCAGTTCCCACCTCTGGGGACAGGGCAGATGGGCTCATTGGTAGTGCACACCCCAGAGTCTCCAGATACGATGATGTCTGTCACAGTTTGGGTGTATGTGTTGCTTGGAGGCCAGAAAGAATCCTTTGGTTTCTGGAACATCCTGGCTGGATTAGTAGAAAGGGAGTGAGAAAGAAGTTATTAGAATGAGAAGTGTGGGCAGAATGAGGCCAGAGGTGGGGATGGTCCCCTCTAGAAGACAGGGGCTGCCCTGGTGGCCACAGAGCAGGCACATGTTGTTAGCAAACTTCTGTCAAAGGAGTAAGCGAGTGTGTGGCTGAGTGAGCGCGCAGCCCAGCTAACTGGGGAGAATAAGCCTTTGGAGTCAGATGCCCTGACTGTGTATCATCTCCACCGTTTACCGCTTGTGTGATTCTTAACACATTTTATCTGTTTCCTCATCATAAGCCAAGGTTCTCTGAACTTTTCCTGCTATAGCTCTGCCATCACCTGAGGCTCTGGCCCACATTTTTGCCCCCAAATCTCTTCCCTAGCCTCTAAGCAGATGTAAGGGGGTTCTCCTCTCTCTGGCCCAACAATCAAGTCACAATCACAAATTGCCACCTTTACAGACTGCTGTCCCTCCAAGTCCTTCCTGAGTCCCCTGAATCACCCTGTAGGGCGAGTGATGGGAACCTCACTTTACAGGTGAGCTTGCCAAGCCTTAGAAGTTAAGTGCCAAGTGTTGAGTAGCAGGTGGTGCCACAGTAGGTCTGATGCAGCTGTGGGCCCCGTACACAGCTGTGAAATCCCCCGGCCTGATATTGCCGAAGCCTTGCACAGCCAGCCCCTGGAAGCCTCCAGATGGGTGGATGGGGCCCAGGGTCTGGGTCCAAAGCCTTCCAGAGCTCTGATGTTCCTCCCTTTCCTGAGGCAGGTCTGAACGGGATGAATAGCAGCATCTGGGAGCATTTTGCCTCTGGTAGCTTCTCCCCAGGCACTTCTCCTGCCTTCCTGTCAGGGCCAGGGGCTGCTGAGCTGGCCCGGCTGCGGCAAGAGCTCGAAGAAGCCAACAGCACCATCAAGCAGTGGGAGGAGTCCTGGAAGCAGGCTAAGCAGGTGCTGGGCCCCCACACCCACTTGACTTCCCAGGGCCTGGTGGGATCCAGCCTGAGCCCATCTTACACAGAACAGGCCCAGGGGTGGGAGGCCCAGGGTCCTGGAGGACAGAGCAGAATTTCAGAATTCCAGGCCCGGAATTCCCAGTGTGGGTTGCTTATTTGGTTTGATGCCACAGCACTGCTTTGCTCTCCCCAGAAGCCCTGACTTTCCAGGGTGTTCTAGGTTCAGAGATGGGCCCTGTGTCCAGCTGCAGCCTGGCTGCTCCCGCAGGTGCTGGCCAGCATGCCCAGCTCGGCCTGGCGCTCCTCTGCCGTGCTGGGCTGAGCCCCCTTCCCCACCAACAGCGGGTCTCTTGCAGATCTCGAAGCCTCCCTTCTCTGCAGGCAGTGTCAGCCCCCTCCCCGGGCCCTCCCCAGACAGCTGACCCAGCTCTCCAGCAGGCCCTGCGGCCACAAATGGCCCATGCAGGCTCCCAGAGCTGTACTCGCAGCGGGGAGGGTTGCAGGGGCTGGGGGCCATCATGACCAGGTGCTGTGTTTTGGGCCCACAGGCTTGTGATGCCTGGAAGAAGGAGGCAGAGGAGGCCGGTGAGCGGGCCAGCGCAGCAGGCGCGGAGTGCGAGCTGGCCCGGGAGCAGCGGGACGCGCTGGAGGGGCAGGTTAAGAAGCTACAGGAAGAGCTGGAGCGGCTGCACTCGGGCCCCGACGCACAGGCCCTGCCCACCTTCTCCGACCTGGAGGCCCTCTCACTCTCCACCCTCTACTCCCTCCAGAAGCAGCTGCGGGCCCACCTGGAGCAAGTGGACAAGGTCAGCCCAGGAGTTAGGGGAGCACTGGGTGGGGGTGTACAGTAGCCTCAGCAGTGCTTGGATGGACAGATGGGTCCTCACTGCTCCAGGGACAGCCACCCCTTCTGAGGGCCCTGCCCAGCTGCTGGGCTGACACAAAATGCTGCCCTCTGGGAGGGGAGGTAGGAGAAAATGTCACTCGTTGGGAGGTGAGGACGCTGGAGGCAGAGAGGCATCTGAGCCCACACGCACCCCCTCCAGCCCCCACAGTTCGGCGGTGGGGGGGGTGGGTGCTGACCCAAGCTGCATTACTACACCCGGGCCTTCGCTTCCATTGAGATGCTTCTCCTGTGCGCTCTGGACACACCAGCAGACATTCCGGACAGTTAGGTCCCCAGGGCTACTTTGTCTGCATTCCTGGGTGCCCTGCTGCATCCCCGGGGAGCATGAAAGACACAGCAGAAAGCGCGTTCTTTCTTTCACCAGGCGTCTGCAGCCAGGCCCCCTTGTTCTCGTTTGAGGACCGAGGGTCACTGCAAGATCGAGACAAGAGGCAGAGGCTTTGTGGATGGGAGAGCCCGTCGGGGTGGGGACTGCAGAGGCCCTGTCCCCCGCGCCCCTGGAAGCAGACATTGCGAGCCTTGAGGGCATCGGCTTGGACTCTAGCTCTGCCCTCTCACTTCACAGCCGGGGCCTGTGAGCACACCGAGCTCTGTGTCTTAGGTTCCTCGCCACGGGGAGCGAAGAATGTTGAGAAAGCTCATTGTCCAACTCAGGGCCAGACCGGTGACCATGATGTCACTTTCTCCCACAGGCCGTGTTCCACATGCAGTCGGTGAAATGCCTTAAGTGTCAGGAACAGAACCGAGCAGTGCTGCCGTGCCAACATGCCGTGCTGTGTGAGCTCTGTGCCGAGGGCAGCGAGTGCCCAGTCTGCCAGCCTGGCCGGACCCATGCCCTCCAGTCGTGACCCCACTTGCCTGGCCCCGGCCCGGCTCAGATCTTCTTACCTAGGACTTTTTAAAGTATATATATGTATGTATGTATGTATGTATGTATATGTATATGATTCTGTATATGTATACATTTCTGTACGTGTGCAGGTATGTGTGGGCGGCAGTGTGTGAACAGTGTCTGTGTGTATATCTGTACATAGATATAGACACACACTTTAAAACAGACTTACCAAGCACTTTTTAAAAGAAAAAACTATTTTGCAGCCCTCCCCTTGCCCACTCTCTCTTTTCCACTGCAGAGACAAAGTCCCCTCTTCGCCCACTGGCCTTCGGCAGGGGATACGTTTGTCTCTTTTTAAATGTAGGAAAACTAACTAGTTTTAACTTCTTCCTGGGGCCCAAGCGGGAAGTTGGAAGGGGCTGAGGGGAGGGACCAAGCCTTCAGGGCAGGCCCTGTTCACTGCACCTCCCCAGGCCAGGGAGAGAGCCAGGGCTGTGGACATCCCCGGGGCACACCTGGCTCCCAGCTGTGAGGCCCGAGGGGACGTGCTGGGGTCGAAGCAGCCTAGCTCCTAGGTGTACCAAATGTGTGTGTGGTGTGGGGCTGGCAGGCCGAAGCTGCAGGGGCCCGTCCCCCTCCCAGCCCCGGGCCCTTGAAGCTTCTCGAGGGGCAAGGCCTGGGAGTTCTACCCCTCAGGTTCCTGAGGCCAGGGATCCACCTCAGTCCTCTCCCCCTGGGCCCCCAAAGCAGCCCCCCTGGCCCCAGGGCCACCTACCAGACTGGCACTGCCCTCTTCATAACCCCCCAGCTGCTGTCAGCTTCCCCACCCCCCTCTGGCAGCTAGCAGGGCAGTAGGTGGGGAGGAGCTATGGACTGAGGACCAAGGTGGGGCTCAGGCCCTGCTCTCCTCCCCGGGAGGGGCTCTGTATGCATTCCTTGGTGCTCTCTGAGTGCAGCTGACGTCCCGCCCGTTTGGAGCGGACGCCTGTGTACGTGTGTGTGCGTGCCTGTCCGATGTATATTGTGTCTTAGCTTCCATTTTAAAAATTGTTCTGTACAGAAAGATGCAGTGGGTGCGGGAGGGCAGAGCGGGTGGAGGGGGGCCACCCTGCTCCCAGCGCTGGGGGTCTGGGGCGGGAGCAAGAGGGCTGTGAAGGGTCTGGCCTGGCCCAGGCTCTCCTTGGGCTCAGCACGAAAGGGCTTTCAATGAATTAAGTGAAAACTTTTTTTTTTTTTTTTACAAAAATGCAAAAATCAACAAAGCTCCAAACCTATTGGAAATAAAATATGAACTTACAGTGGTAGCTTGTTTACATGACGGTGAGGGAGAGCAGGCCCCCAGTAAGGGCCTCTGAGTTACCAGAGGAGTCAGCCTGGCCCTCCCAGCCCGGGCTGCAGTCCCGCCTGGGCCCCAGAGCCCATGCCCCCCCACCCCCCCAGGTGTGGCTCAGGCCGCCTCCAGGCCCCCAGGTGGCTCAAGTGCCCTCTGAGCCAGGCCTGCAGGTACCCAGAGACCTAAGTTTCTGACTCTCCTGGGACCCTGTCATCAGCGGGGACCCCTTCACTTGCTGTTTTGCAGAAGACAACTAGAGGAACCAAGATTTTCTCATAAAAGCACTAAAAGGAAGGATGAGGGTCCCAGCCTTTGAGCCGCCGCCTTCCTCCCCTGCTCTTAGCTGGCCTAGTAGGTGGCTGTGAGGAAACCACACCGCAGGCGCTCTGGATGGATCTCCGGCTCCGAGCGGAAAGGAGCCCTGGGGATGATCTTGACTGCCCCCCTCCCCCCCCCATCATACTTGTGTGGGCTCAGCTAGAATGACAACCCAGCCTTGGGCTCTGACTCAGCATGGGGGCCACTTCCCCTCAGGCCAGGCTGTGACTCCTAAGCCCTAGGATGGCCACACGACTGCACTCCGGGAAGACCCGCACTCACAGTGCTCCCCTGGGGAGTGCCCGGCCCTTGTGCCAGGCTGCTGCCGCGCGCGCGGGGGTGCCTGGTAGGGTCCTGTCTGACCGTCGGTCACTCCCACACCTCCCTGCTCTATAACATGGAGTGAGGGGCTAGGCGGCCACAGGTGGGGGGGGGGACAGTCAGCTCAAGGTCTCCTGAAGGCTGGGGAGGGGTTTGCAGGGCCTGACTGGAATTTTCTGGACCCCGATGTAGGGCAACAGCGTGGTTCCTTAGAGGATGTTATTTGGTTTTGGTTTTTTATTTTTGCTAAGAAAGTTTCTAAGTGGCAGGTACGGTCCCAGGGAGGGGTCCACAGGAGACACGGTTGGCCAAGCGGTCCTGCCTGCTCCTGCTCCTCCACGCCAGCCAGCCCCTCTGCCCGCCAGTCCTCACCTCTTCAGAGCCAGAAGGCTGTCGGTAGCCACCTCGGGAGGAGCCAGGCTCCCCCCTCTCAGGGCACCAGTAGCCTCATCTTTGGTTGTTGGCGGGGTCGGTCCCTTCCCTCCCCTCCCCCCCCATGAATGGAATCCACACGCCAGAAAGAGCAGAGCGCTTTCTGCCAGAGCAGCTTTTCCCAAACAGGAGACCCGGGGCAGGAGGTGCAGACAGCTGCCCCCATCTGCTGGGGCTGAGATGCGGTGGAGGATGCTGAGGCCAGGGCTGGAGGCAGGGAGGAGGGGGTGTAAATACGACCGGGGCACCAGCACCACGGGCCCCTCTGGCAGGAGGACCAGAGGGGATCTGCATGCTGGGCCTTCCGCACATGGGTCCCCAGACTTGCAGGGCCCTTCCAGAGCGTGAGGCCAGGCTGGTGGGGTGCGCTATGGTGGGGAGAACCCAGACGTTTCAGGCCCCCAACCCCATCCCCAGCCTCCACCGCTACCGCCCTAGCTTCGGGGCGTGCTGGGAGGCCTGCTTGGCTCGCTGCCTCCGCAGCCTCGCAAACACCTGGGCCTCCCGATCACCCTTCCGGCTCTCCAGCAGCTGCAGGATCGGATCCCCTGCGAAGAGAGGCGTTTGGGGGTCAGCCTGCGGCGCCGGGGGTGGGGGTAAGCAGTGCCTGGCCAGAACACAGCACTGACCCGCTCCCCGGCCATCCTGAAAACGAGTGATGGACACATCAGCCAAGCTCACTGGACAGCCCGAGGTTGCCCCCCAGCACGGCGGCGCTGGCGCAGACACCGACCCAGCTGCACTGGAAGAGGCTGAGGTGCGCTTCAGGCTGCAACTATTGCCTTTTTATAGGAGAACCTTAGGCTAGGGACTTAACCTCTTTGTGCCTCAGTTTACTCATCTGTAAAGCGGCAATAGTAATACCTGCCACATTGGGTGGTCGTGCCGGCTCATAATAAGTGCTTGGACATGTGACCTGCTCTTACTCTCCAGCCTGGAGGATGCTTGGGCTGTGCCCCAGCTCAGAGACTCAGCCCATCTCCCCACGTAAGCCTGCTGGTGGCCTTCCCCCGCCAGGGAGCCACACCACACCTGGCCTAACAAACTTCCTGGTCTCCTGATGAGACCGAGAGATCTACTCGGCAGCACGAAAATCACGCAGACCCCACCGGCCTCCACATTCAAGGAGGGAGTTCTCTGACCCCGACTTCATTCGCTTCCCTAAGGGCCACCCCACCGCCTGAGGTTTTACAGGCTGCCCCACCCCCGCGCCCCCAGGGCCGGGCCTGGCCCTGCTGCACCCTGGGCCTCAGGCCTACCGTTGAGTGCGGGGTAGGTGAGGGGCAGACGGGTCTGAGGGACCTCGCCAGGCTCCTCTGTCCCAGTCAGGCCGGGCACTGAGCGTAGCGGCAGGAAGGCCTCCCCTTCCAAGTCATCAGCCCCCAGCGTGTCGTGGTCCAGCACCGTGAGCAGGAGGCAAGCTCCGTCCTTCCGGCATGGCTCAGCAGGCACCAGGCTGAGTGGGGGGACAGTGGGGCTCAGCTGCCTGCCCACCCCACTGTCACTGGCACCCACCCACGCACACAGTTCACCGCTAGATCTTGAGGCCAGGGCTGAGGGCAGACAGGCGGGGATTAGGATCGCAAAGCCAGCTCTCAGCCTAGTATGTCCTGACTCCTCTGTAGGCCTTCAGACCAAGGCCCCCAGACCTTCCCTGGGAGCAAGCCTCTCAGGCCAACAGGTGGGGGCCTTCCCCTCGCAGTCCCGCTCCTCCTCCTGGGGTCCCAGCAAACCCCTGTGCGAGGTGCCCCTCCCTGGGACCCAAATGCAGTCATCTCAGGGGAGCCCACCGGCCCCGCATGGGAGGAGCAGGCCCAAGGGAAGTCCAGGGCTGGGGAAGGGTGGCAAGTACAGGGACCCACTCACAACTCAAAGGTCTCATCAAACAGGGGGTGAAGCTCCTTCTTGTGTTTTTGCGTCTCCCGGGGTGCCAGCTCAGGGAACTCGTGCCTGGGCTCCAAGGTCAGCTGGACAAAGGGGTCACTGGAGCCTGGCAAGTGGGGAGGTCACCTGGGGAGGCCACGTTGCCAAGGATATCCCAGCTCCCCGCCTCGGCCAGGGCCCTGCAGCTGTGCCCTGTTTGGCAGCATTGCCCCCTCCTGGCGATATGAAGGAACTGCACCCAGTGCTCCCGCTCCGGAGAGACCTGCCAGGGACGTGGGGGAAGGGGGGGCCAAAGAGCAAAGACTGGGGGAGCGGCCAGTGGGCAGCCTGCACTCACCGTTGGAGTCCAGGGGCAGCAGGCTGGAGGCGCTGAGCAGTTCCACCCGCAGCTTCTGCTCAGAGGCGCGGTAGGAGACCTTGACTGTGACCGCGCCTAGCTCCTCAGAAGCCGTTTCTGCCTAGTAGGGGTGGGGCGCATGGGCAGTGTCAGCTGGGGCAGAGTGGAGGCGGGGCTCCAGGGACACAGGGAGTACAAGGGCGGAAGAGAGCCTCACCTGCTGCTGGATGCGGCTGCAGAAGTACTTCTGGATGAGCTCCCTGCTGGAAGCTGCCTGCAGCTCCAGGTCCCTCTGCAGAGCCTGGGAACGGGGTACAGCTGAGAAGTCACCTGAACTGTCACCCTCAACCACAGCCCAGTGCTGCCCTTCAGCCATGCAGCCAAGACGGGATGTCAGTTTGATATGGAAAGCACTGGGTGTTCTGAACCTCAGGCAGGGGAACGCACCCTCAGGACAGACGGGGCGGGAGGGGGGGTTCACAGGCGCGCCCCCCATGCAGTGGCACAGCCACCCCCCCCCCACCGGGCCTCAAGAACCTTGTGCTTGGTTTAATGTTCTGCAGTGCCTGTCTTTAAAGTTCAATAATTTCTGAAAAGGGGGCTCGCAGTTTCTTTTCGTGCTGGGCCCCGTCAGTCATGTAGCTGGTACACAGCTGAGCACAGAAAGGCAGGTGTCTCCCCCCCACCCCCAGCTTACCAAAGACCCCTACCTGGAAGGTGGCTGTGTGCAGGGCCTCAGGTGGCAGGCCACAGCCCTCTGCGTAGAAGCAGATCTCCAGATTCTAGGGGGTGAGACATCAGACAGAGGTGACCCCAGGCAGCCTCCCACCAGAATTCTTTGTGGTCACAGCTATTATTACTACCTGAAGCGCAGTCTTCAGCCTGCTAGAGGCCAGGGGGCAGCTCCTCTGGGAGGTGGCCACTTCCACCAGCACGGTGAGCGTGTGGGTCCAGAGCAGGGTCAGAAGGCTGAGGTGAGGTGCAGAGGGACGGCAGTCACAGGACAGGGGGATGGAAGAGGAGGAAGCAGAGACGCTCTTGAGAAAGGGACCCGGACCCCCCCCCCCCAGCTCCTCCCCACCCCCACCTTCCAGGCCAGGCCAGGCTGCAGGCAGAAGTAGGGGCAGCCAAGATGGGGGGGGTGAGGGGGCGGGGGGCAGACAGGGCCAGTCCCAATCAATGTGTCTCATAACCTAGCAAAGAATCCTGCTCAGTAGGGTTATCAAACCCCAACAAACAAGGTAGGGAGGGGAGGCTGGTTCCCCAGTGAGAGAATCAGGATTCAGCATGGGAGTGGCCAGAATGAAGACCCCAGCAGGGATAAGCATGGATAACCTGCTGGGAGGGAAAAAAAAAAAAAAAAGCAACCAAGCCACAGTCCTAATAACTACCTGAAATAACTGAAATTTCACACGCCAAAGCAGAGTCAGGCAGTTAAGCACTCAAAAAAAAAAAAAAAAAAAATTAGGTTGTGTAATTAAGAATTTCTGGGGAACGTCAGAAGCTCCTGGGCGGCTCAGTCGGTTAAGCGTCTGACTTCAGCTCAGGTCATCTCATGGTTTGTGAGTTCGAGCCCTGCACTGGGCTCTGTGCTGACAGCTTCTGAGCTGCTCCCCTGGAGCCTGCTCCCTTTCTCTCTGTCCCTCCCTCACTCACGCTCTGTCTCAAAAATAAATTAACAGTAAAAAAAAAAAATGGGTAAGGTCATATTAATTAAAGGTAGTCAATGTATTCAATATATTTGGGTGCTTATTATGCCTCAGACAATGTTCTAATGGCTGTTGAGACAGCAGTGCGTGAAATCCCTAGGGTGGGGGGGCGCCTGGGTGGCTTAGTCGGTTAAGCATCCGACTGTCGCTTAGGTCATGATCTCGCGGTTCGTGGGTTCGAGCCCCGCGTCGGGCTCTGTGCTGACTGCCAGCTCAGAGCCTGGAGCCTGTTTCAGAGTCTGTGTCTCCCTCTCTCTCTGCNGTTTCAGAGTCTGTGTCTCCCTCTCTCTCTGACCCTCCCTTGCTCACGCTGTCTCTCTCTCTCTCCTAGAAATAAATAAAACATTAAAAAATTAAAAAAAAAAAAGAAATCCCTAGGGTGGGGATTTAACCCTGTTAAATAGAAAAGGTGGGCTTCTGCTCCACTGCACCACCAGGAGCGGAATGCAGGGGGGAGGGGCGGCAGCCTCAGAGCCCGGATCCCCTGGGGAGGGCCCATGGTCATCGGTCCGCACGCCTGCCAACCACTTCCTTTACACAGGCGGTGCACTTGACACCCCGTGTGACTCACTTGGTCCTCATTAAAGGCCAGAACTATGATCATCTGCACGGAAAACTTGAGTAATCTGTTCAATCCACCCACCAAGCAGCAGCAATTCAGCTAGAGTCTGAATTCAGGTGGGCTGGGGCCCACACCCTTAACCGCTAGCCCCGCTGCCTGGCTCTGCTGGGCCCCTGCTTTAGAGAGACCCTAACTAGGGGCACCTGAGAAGCTCAGGCAGTTAAGCGTCCCACTTCGGCTCAGGTCATGATCTGATCTCACCCTTCATTGGTTCAAACCCCACATCTGGCTCTGTTTGGACAGCCTGGAGCCTGCTTCGGAATCTATGTCTCCCTCTCCCTCTGCCCCTCCTCTGCTCACACTCTGTCTCTCCTTCTCTCTCTCTCTCTCTCTCAAAAATAAACATCAAAAATTTTTAAAAAGAAAAAAAGATCCTAACTGGAAGTTTCCCTGAATCATGGGAGAATACCCACTGCCTGTAATGTTAGGAGGGTAGATCTGCAGCCAGCAAGGCCCACAGATGCCCACGGCTAAAGGAGAAGGCAGCTTTCTGCTCAGCCTACAGGGAAATGGGCAAGTGTGTGAGGTGGTGAGCTCCCTGTCCCTGGAGGTGAGCCCTGAAGCAGAGGCCGGTTGCATCCTCCACTGAGAATGGATGCTGAGGCCGGGAAAGAGGGGCGGGTGGGAGGCGGTGGGGCACCACAGGGCAGGAGGCTGCTACAGACCTGTTGAAGTTCTCCTGCACCAAGTTGGTGTTCATGTAGCAGAGCTCCACTTCCAGAAACTTCATCAGGGGCAGAATGGCCTGGGGAGAGGGGTGGGCAGTGCGTCTGGTTCTAGCTCACTCCCCTGCCCTGACTCGGAAGAGTAAACAGGACCAGGAGCTTTCTTTCGTGCGCTTCCTCTGGGACATCTGCGGGAGCTGACCCCTGCCCACAGCCAGCTCCAGCCACACTGGCCTCCAACCCGCGCGGTCCCGCCTCGGGGCCCTGGCCCTTGCTGTTCCCTCCCCTGGAAATCCTCCTGGCTCCTTTTCTTGCTTCATTTAGGTCTTGACTCAGCTGTCATCCTTAAGGAAAGCTTTCTCTAGCCACGGTCTAAAAATATCTCCATTTTCTCTAGTGCTTATTGTCTAACATGCCATGCATGTGCACACGCACACACATGTATGTACACGTAGCTCTAGTTACATACATGTACTCGGCTTTCCTTCCATCTCCCCTCCCAGAAGGTAAACTCAAGGAAGGGAGGGCTTTTCGTAATTTTTGTTGATATATATCCCAGTGCCTGGGACAGAGCGAATGCTTAAATAGTTGATGACTTAATGAGTAAGCGTCTCCCAAACAACCAAAGGTATGCATCACTGTGCCCTCTGACAGGTGAGGACGCCCGGGTCCGCTGGCTTGTGCAAACAGGGAGCTGAGAAGGACACACGCCCAGAGCTGTGTGGCTGCAAAGTCCAAGCTCTCCCCGACTGCGGTCCCCACGCTGACGCTGGGAGAGCCCATGGAATGACCCAACCCTGCCCCCTTAGCATCCCAGGAGGAAAACGAGGTCCAGGAGGGAACATACCTTGCCCAGGTGTGGGGGACTTATCTCTGACACCCCACGGCCTTCAGCCCCCCGGCCACCCTAAGCCCCTTTGGCAAAGCTGAGCAGGGAGGGCCACTCACATCCTCAGGCAGCACAGACTCCTTGACACTCACGAGATTCTGGATGTGCTTCGCAATGCCCACCTCCAGCTGGGGACACAAGGCAGAAGGGAGACCAGGGCGTGAGTGCGGGGAAGACAGGGCGAGGCCACTTGTGAGTTTCAGTTCAGGAAGAGGTAGGCGCCGGACGTCAGCCCAAGTCCAGCTGGGGGCGCTTTGGGCGGGAGTGGGGGGGGGGTCACCATGGATGGGACAGGGTACCTGCTCGGCCAGGGTGCGGACGCCAGTGCGGATCTCGTGGCCCAGCCCGGCCAGCGCGCCCTGCAGCTGGGCATGCAGCGTGTTCTGCAGCTGCGTCTGCTCCAGCACAGCCCCCACCCGCCGTTCCAGCGCCTCCCAGGCCAGCTGCGCGGGCAGCTTGCCGATCACCAGCCGCAGCTGCTCCATGTCATTCACCACCACGCATAGCTGAGGGCAGGCACGGGCACGGGGATGCAGAGCTTCCGGAAGAGTGCCAGGACTGGCCCCCAGTCCCCGACACCCAGCCCCCGACACCCAGGTCTGCCCCCTACCATGTTGGCTGCCTGGCCCTGGTCCTTCTGGCCCACAGAGAGCTCCCGGGCCCGGGCCTTTATGAGGCTGCAGTACACCAGGGCCAGCCGACAGGTATCCTGGGGTGGAGAGAGGCCGATCAATGCCGGCGGGGGAGAGGGGGGAGCCCACGAGGGAGCCAATGTGGGGGAGGCATGGAAATCTCAGTGACTTGGGGACTTAAGACATAGATAGGCCTTCGGAGGCTGCTAGGGCAGGAGCTTGGGAGAAACAGGGGGAAGGAAATGGGGCTGTCTTAGAAAGGTAGGGAAGGACCTATGTGCACACTGCACCTCCACAAACTTGACAGTGATCATGAAGGCCTCCTCTGGGTCCGGCCAGTCCAGCTGCCGGGCGGTATGGCTGATCTGGGCGAAGCAGGTGGATAGATCCACGGCTGACGTGCTGTGCTTGGTCAGTTCCCCCAGGGGCACCAGCTGGGGGGTGGGAGGGTGTGCAGGAAGGAGGGCTCAGGACTTGCCACATTTGTGCTCCCCGCTGCCTTCTTCTCTGCAGGCATGCAGTTCCCACCACCAAGCAAGTAGAGCGGGGGGAGGGGGAGCTACAAGGGGTACGAGCAAGGCTCCCCCACCTGGGACCCCCAGGCTGCACAAATCAGTCCGTCAAGAAAAGCCATGGTTTACGCCAAGGATATCAGGAGGCGGTGTTTTGTACCCAACTGGCTTCAAGAGCCAACTTCTGCCCGTCCTGGAGGTGCAAGCAGAGCCCCAGGGCCTGCCCTCAAAGCTGAGACCCCCATGGCTGACCTCGGGCCCTGCCCCCACCTCATCCATCTGCACAGCCCGCTGCACCCGCGCCAGGGCCACACTGTACGTCTTCTGCAGCCAGGAGGGGATGGCGGGCCGGAACCAGCGGTGAAAGCCATCCAGAGCCAGGACTCCATCCCTGGGGAGAGCTGGGGCTCAGCCTGGGGCACTCTTCTCGACCCTCCTCTCTTTTGTGCCGACAGACCACTGCCCACCTCTCTGCGGGGACCGGACCCAGCTGGCAGAGCTCCTTGAGGCTGACGTAGAGCTGGAATAGACTCTCGCCCATCTCTGGGGACACGGGGCCGCCCGTCACCGTGGCCGTGTGGTCCTGTACCCGCTTGGCCACCTGTGAAGGGGAGGCGTGGGGGCGGGGCTCCGGAGCCAGGGGAGAGGGCGCCCCGCCCCCCACCAGATGCAAGGACAGCTCACCAGCCACTGCAGCTCTAGGAAAGCCATGGAGAAGAGGTTGATCTTGAAGGTGCTGGAAGGAAGGTGACAGGTGTGACCTGGTGGCACACACAGGGGTCCTTCTGGTCCCCCTTCTGGGCCCCTGCCGCACTGCCTCCCAGCCCGGCCACCGGCTCACTTCTGGAAGATCTTGTTCCATGTGCGCTGGCACTGGTGCAGGTCGCCAATGATGTCCTGCACCAGGCTCAGCAAGGCCTTGCCTGCCTCCAGCATGCCCTGGCGGGGACAGAGGCTCGCTGAGCAGGGCTTCCAGGGGCCGGCACCCCCCCCACCCCCCTGCCCAAGCCCCCTCACCTGCACCATGGGTTGATGGTGCTGCTGCTTCAGGTGGAACCACTCAACGGTGCCGGTCTGCGGGCCAAGAAGCGGTGAGCGGATCGGGTTGCTGGGCTCAGGCACACGCCCTCCCCGTCCCCAGGGCGAGTACCATACCCGCAGCGCCTCGGCCACCAGGCGGGGCAGCGGGTCACTGTCAGGGCACAGTTCCCCAAAGGCCTTCATCTTGCACATCTGTACCAGGACCCTGTGTGTGTGGCGGGGGGGGGGGGGCAGACATCTGTGTCCAGGGTGCCCGCTGCCCTGTACCCTCCGCTCGCATCTCCAGCAGGCTTCCCCCACCCCTGCAGGCGCCCTCATCCCTGACCCCACGGAGGAAGGGGAAGGGGGAGCCGCTGACCTGAGAAGAGACTGCAGCCTGGCTGGGGAGTCGGAGACAGAGAGGGGGAAAACAGACCGGAACCTCCGGATGAGGGACAGGCCATAGGCCAGCAGGTTGCTGAACGAGGCGGCCAGCTCCTCCCGCTGCAGGGCCAGGCAGAGTCACCAGCTGCTTTATGGGGCCCGGACCGCCCTTCCCCCTCCCTGAGCTCTCCCTGCCCGACACCCCTCATTCCAGCCCAGCCCACCTGTTCGGCCTTGAGGCGGCCCTGGATCCACTGGTACTCGATGCTGGTGATGGGGTGCAGGAGGCAGCTGCTGGGGAACTCCAGGCTCTGGTAGAGACGGCTGTAGGCCAGCCACTGCCTGCGGCAGACAGGAAGCCCTCAGCCCAGCCATCGTCTCACCGGCCTTGGGAAGGGACAGCGAGGTGCCCTGCCCCAGACACCTCCTGGGAACCCCCATCAGCCTCATCAAGGTCTTTTTCAAACATGTAAACGTTTCTATTCTCAAATTGGAATATGTGTGATTTAAAAATTCAGGATCTTGGGGCACCTGGGTGGCTCAGTCGGTTAAGCGACCAACTCTTGATTTCAGCTCAGGTCATCATCTCATGGTTGTGAGTTCGAGCCCTGTGCCTGGCTCTGTGCTCACACCACAGAGCCTGCTTCGGATCCTCCGTCTGCCTCTCTCCGCCCCTTCCCCTGCTCACGCTGTTCTCTCTCTCTTTCTCTCTCAAAAATAAATAAACGTTTAAAAAAATGTCATTTAATATAAAAACATTTTAAAAAGTCAGGATTTCTTGCTTCTTTTGAAAAAAAAACTTGGAGACTTGAGCCTTCATGCATAGGTGCCAAACATCAGCTGGGCTGCCCTTTACAGTTCAGGGGACGCTTCACAGAGGTGACGACCAAGCTGAGACATGGCCCAAGTGGGACATTGAAGGAGGACTGAAGAGAAGGGCTGGCCCCGGCTGGGACACGGCACCGCGTGCTTGGGCCCTGCAGGCCACTGGGCCCTCACCGTGGGTGCCTGCTCCCGGGGCCAGCCTCACCTGCATCCCCTCCTCCACCTACCTGGGCACACCCACCCACCCAGGGTCCTACAAGCTGCCCTTCTCCCCCAGCCCCCTTCCGGCCCCTACTCGAATCCCAAGTGTCAGCCATGGCCCGGGACAGCATCCACTGTCCTTCCTCCTGGCCCGGCCACCCCCGGTGTGCCCCCGGGTCTGTATTCCTCACCTGCAGGGGAACGTCCCTTGTTCCCACAACCTGTTGTGTAACTGGGGACGGGACGGGCCCTCAACACAGATCTGGTAATGCCGGTGCCCGAGTCTATGGGCTCAGGGTGGTGGTGCAGGGAAACGGGGCTGGGGTCTGGGGCAGGGGCGGCAACTTCAAATGCCAGGGAGTGACGTGGGCCGATGGCAGCTGTGAGCGGCTGGGGAGGCTGTGCGCTCCGCCGTGACCAGCTGCAGCCCAGCAGAACCACAGCACTTCAGGTCCATGGGAAGCTGGACGTGGGACTCCGTATGGAAAAGCTCCAGATTTATAAAAGTTGGCAACTGACTCAGACTTCAAACACCAGGAGGCCGCCTGGGCAGCTCAGTAGGATAAGCATCTGGGACTCTTGATTTCGGGTCAGGTCATGATCTCACTGTTTGTTAAGTTTAAGCCCCACATCAGGCTCTGTGCTGATGGCAAGGAGCCTGCTTGGGATTCCCTCTCTCTGTATCCCCAACCCGTGTCTCTCTCGCACCCAAAATAAATAAGTAAACTTAACAACAAAAACAAAACCGAAAACAACTTAAAACACACAGTTGGGGCCAAACAGAAATCTCCCGAGGGTTAGACGTCAGGCTGCCGGCCTGTAGGAAGGCAGGTGACCCTCGGGGACCGTGCACTCACGCCATGGACTGGTGGAAGTCGGACAGGTCCTTCTGCGTGGCGTGTAGAAAGAGGATGGTAGCAGCCTGGGGACTCAGCGACCCATCCCAGGAGGTACTGCCCGCCTGAGGGGACAGGTGGAGGGGTGTCGGGACCCAGCGGGCAGGCCCCGCACCACCCTGCGCTGGGAGGGCAGTACCTGGTGCTGGGTGACCTCGTGGGACACGAGCTGCTGCAGCAGGTGGAGGTGCACCGTGTAGCTGGGCTGGGAGCGGCTGGCCGCCGTGGCTCTCTGCAACAGGGCCGGCATGACCGGGAGTGGAGGGCCCCATGCCTGGTGCGGCCCATCCGCCTCCCCCAGGCAGGCCCCCCGGACGGCCCCTGCGCCCGGCCCCCCACCTACCCGCTTGTGGATGAGCTGGAACTGCAGATGGCACCGGCCGCGGTCGGGGTAGGTCTCGGTGCAGGGCTCCAGAGGGTACCATTGATCCTCCCGGCAGCGCAGGTCCTGGGCGGGCAGGGGCGGGGCAGGGGTGCCCATGCCCATCAGCGGCCTGAGCCTCACACAGTCGGGGGTGGAGGAGGCAGACCCCAGGCTCCGCTCGGTGTGGACCCAGAACCGCTCCCCTGAACCCCTCGCGAACCCCCGTTCAGTCTCTTTCCTGACCCCACTCACCTGTAGCCTCAGAACCACGTTCCCCAGAAAGTCATCCTGGCCTTTGTCCTTCCGGGCCTCCTTAAAGATCCTATTCCAGGCAGTGTCCGTGAGGGGGACGGGCCAAGACACTGAGGGGTCAGGCAGGGATCCATCCCCATCCTGCAGCCCAGCAGACAACCCCACCCCCTCCCCAGGAACCTGCTCCCCATGGCGCTCACCTCCGCAGCCCGTGCAGGTCGGTGAGCTCCCCGAGCTTCTGTCTGACAGACTCCACAGTGTCCATGTCCCTGAGGGGACAAAGGTCTGAGCAAGAGGCAGAGAGGGTGTCCTGGGAGCCCCCGGCCCCTTTGGGGGGAGGATCTGCGCCCCCACTTGCCCCCTTTGTCTCCCTGACCCCGCCAGCAGGGGACGCCCCTCACCACATGTCCAGATGGAAGCTTGAGTTGCTTATGTCCTCAAACTCCCTATAGGGAGGAGAGAGAGGGCATGGCTGAAGGCCTTGCAGGGCCGGAGCCCAACCAGAGCCCGTCCCTGGGAGCTTCCCCCCCACCCCCCACTCCCCCCCTCCGTAAACTCCTTCCCTAAGGTAAGGCTTCAGCCTACCAGCCCAGATCAACCCAGCTGTGCCCAACCCTCCACACCCCCCCAGCACACGTGGGTCACTGCTCTGGCCTGTCTCTGGCCCAGGGAGCAGGCTCCTCCTCCGGTCAAGCCCAGTCCCCTCCCCTGAGCCAGGAAGTCCTGCTGATCTCACTGAGGGGATGGGGGGGGGGGGGCGCAGGGCCACGTACAGGATGAAGGTCTCCTCCCAGACAGGGTTGAGGGTCTGGGTGATGACCTGGGTGCGGTGGGTCTGCTCCTCCGGGATAGTGTGCCTCACCACAGCCTTCTGCCGGTGCCGGGACCCAGGGCTGTCCCCCGGCACGCCCACCCCCTGCTCAATGCCCAGCAGGCAGTAGGGGTCACTGAGTCCTGGGGAAGGGGGGAAGGACGAGGCTGCCAGGGTGTTGGCCGGGCTCCCTGGGAAACTCCCTCATCACCCCACAGGCAGAGCCCCTGCCCATCCACAGACTCGAAGGGCCCCGGGGCCAGCAGCACCCGGGTGAGCCCTGGGGGATGTCTGGGAGATGGGAGCTCCCGCCGAGTTCTGGAACAGCCCGATGGGGAGAAGGAGGAGTTGGGAAGAAGGCCCTCAGGGCCCCTCACCCTCTACTCACCACTGACATCTTTGCCCAGAATGCCCTTGGCTTGTTTCACTGTCGCCTTCAGACAAAATATTGGCTTCTGGAAGGACGGGAGGGTGAGCCTGAGTCCCGGAGGGAGCTGGGGTTCCCGTCCCCTGTCCTCGCCTACGGCGGTCCTGGACCAGGGTTACCTCAAGCTTCTGGACCTGCTGCAGCAGCTGCTGGTGCTCCTCGGGCCCCATGTGGAAGGCCTGGGGGGGTGGGAGCGGAGGCGGCTTGGGGCACAGGGCGGGGGCGGCCGGGCCGGGAGGAGAGGACTCCAGAGTCCAGGCTGCAGGATGGGGGCGGAGCGGGGGCCGGACTCACCTCCTGCAGGTATCGAAGCAGCTCAGAGGCCTCAGTCACATGGTTGGGCTCGGGCTGCCCCAGGCGGTGCAGGATGGTGTAGACAGCTTCCTCGTAGAGCAGGGCCCGCTGAGGCACAGCAGGTCACCTCAGGGACCCCCGTCCGCCCACTGCGAACCGAGTCCCTCCCCCCCCCTCGGCAGCTGCCCCTGGCACCAGCACTGCACGCCCAAAGCTGAGATGAGAGACCCATACGGGCGGGGGGTGGGGGGGTTAAGACCCAGAAGTCCCCACCCCCACCCCCCCCTGTTGCCATCAGCCTTGGCCAGTGGCCCAGGAGCAGTGCCTTCCGAAGGGTGCGGGGCTGCCTCTCAGCCCCTCACTGCCTCCCCAGTCCTCCCATTCTTACCTCTTCAGGGGAGAAGTGGTGGGATGGGGGCTCGATCTGGGGGAGCAAGGTGAAAAGACAGGGTGTCCCCGAGGCCCGGACCAGGGCTCAGACAGCAGGAACAACTCCTTACCGAGCAGGCCCAGGCCTTGGGCTGCGGGGTCCCCAGTTCCTGGCCTCCAACCCACCAGGGCCGCACACCTGTTCCCACAGCAGGCCTCCGGGGAGTTCGGGCCCCGGGCCGTCTTCCTGGTCCCCCGGCCGGCCGCGGCTGAGGTCCATCGGTGCTCGGCTGCCCCAGCAGGGTGAGCTCGCGGCACCCGTGGCCCCAACCTCCCTTCCTTCCCCAGAGGAAGCAGCACCGCTTATCGGGGCTGCCACGCTCGCACCCCAGCGGCGGAAGTGAGGCCCAGCAGTGGAGGTGGGAGACTGAGGCTCATGCCAAGCAGACCTGGGGGCTGCTCAGCCGGCCCCCCTCCCCCTGAGCAGCCCAGCCCACAGCAGGGCCACTCCCGAACAGAGCCGGTGCCTTTGGAGCTCAGAGCAGAGCCCCAGCCCCAAGGCCCAGGATGGCCCAGGGAACACACGGCAGACCGCGGTCTGCCAGCCCAGAAGGCCCTGCCCAGGTGCCACTACAGGGAAGGGGACCGCATCCTCAGCCCCAGCCCGCGAGAGGCGGAGCCCCCGCCCTGAGATCACAGAGCCGCACCCTGGCCACTCTCTTCACTGAGGTCACTCCTACCTCCTGAGCCGTTCGGGGCAGGGGATCCTGCAGATCTCTGACCCTGCGGCGCCTTATCTTGATGGCCTGGCGTAAGAGGGGAGGGCGCCGCTGGGAGTGGGAGAGGAGTGTCGCCATGGTGGCCTGCTCTGCCCTTCCCCTCTGCCGAGCTGCTGCCGCAGGGTGAAGATAGCAAAGCCACAGGATTATGCAAAGAGCACAGGGTGCCACCCTGCACCAGGGAGGGGTGGGGGCCGGCGGGTGGGGGGAGGTTCCGGCCAGGGTTTCACCATCTCTGAGGGCTGCACCTTTCTCCCTCCCGCCGGGCTGGGATCCTGGGAAGAACTCTCCCCGGGCTGGAGGCAGGTGGACCCAGTGGGCGGGCCCGGCCCCACCCCACCCTCCCACAGAGGCCCCTGGAGGGGGGGGGGGTCCAGCACCCCCCAGCAGGGGGCATCAGCGCCACCCCGCCCCCTCCCGAGTGAGCACTCAGCTGGGCCAAGGGCTGAGGGGAGCCGCCTGGCGTCGGTGGGGTTCTCTCACTCACAGACCTAGGATGGGGGTGGGCAGAGCCCAGGGTGGGGGCTCCAGAGAGGCATCTCCCCAGAAGGCAGGCAGCCAACTCCTCAGCCTGCTCCACCCCACAGGTGACATTCCACCAAGGTGACTGGGCCAAACTGTACTGGGCGGAGCTGGCCCTGGTGCCCCTGCCCCCACAAGGTCAAGAGAGTGCTCCCTTCACATGCCCTTGTAGGGGGTTAGCCAACCCCAGGGACTCCTGGGCGGGGCTGGCCAGAGGAAGAGGCTGGAGAGGCGGTGCAGTCCAAGAAGGGACTAGAAAGTAGGACCCTCCAGTGCTGGGTTTCCTCAGAGCTCCCAGACGCACCAATGCCTTGCCCATGGCCTTCCTCCAGGCCAGGGGCCAGGGTGCTGCAGGCCTGGGCATGGAGGTTGGCTCTTCCCTGCTCCCAAGCACGGAGGTTCACAAGAAGGAGCACACAGGAGGGATCACCTGACGTGTTCCTCCCACAGGCACCCTTCCATGCGGCGGTGAGCACAGCGCAGGGGCTGGGCGGCCCCAGGGGCCCCCGTGGGTGGGCAGAGTTGCTGAGTAACCACCATGGAATGGAGCCGTGGGAGGCCTCAGTGGTCCCGGGCCCCAGTGCACTGTGGGAACAGGGGCTCTCACACGGGGAAGGAAGAGTCTCCCCGGGGCCCTCAGCAGCCAGACTGTTCTCTCCCCAAGAGCTCTCGCAGGTCATCACACAGAGCCAGAAAGGTCCAGTCACTTCATTTTTACTATTTTACATTTTCAGCAAACAAATCAAGGTGCAAACAGGGTTTATTTCACATTAATATATTAACTGGTGGTGGTGGTGGTTGTCGTTTTGTCAAATAAATAGGGAATTCTCTTTAAATAACCATCTCCTCACTTCACGGCCAGTCCAGAAGCAAATGAGAGCAAATTTTAGTGCATCCAGGGGCTTATCACCAATTAGGCATGAAGCTTAAAGGGAAGAGGGCAGGGTGAGGGGCTGGTGGGCGGTCACGGTCAGCACACAGGCTCAGGCCAGGCCCCAGGGGTCAGGGCCTTTGTTCCAGCCCAACCAGCGGTCCCTGAACAGCATGATGGGAAGCACATGCATCCAGTCCAAGAAGCCCCTTCTAGAGAGGAGAGAGAGAAGGCAAAGGGAAACCAATGCCAAGAACACTCCCACAAGCAGTGGGCTCCCTCCTCGTCGCAGCGGCCGGGTCCTGATGCGGCCCACCCCCTCCCCCCTCCCCCCTCCCCAGGAAGCTCACACTGAAGCTCCAAAAAGTCACAAAGCAGTGGCGACAGATGACCCAGGACGGACAGGGAGGGGAGAGGAGCGTGACCGGGGCTGGAACGTGGGCTGACAGTCCCGTTTCCACGGTTAGGCACAGACCAGAGTGTAGGGAATGTGAGGGGGGCCTGGCGGGGGCCCCCAGGAAGACGCGAAGCTGGTCTGAGGGAGTTCACAAGGCTGAGTATAAAGTGGATTCCAAAACGAGGGAGCTGGACTGCGGCACAGGAGGCGGCCAGAGAGTCTCCGTGGGGAGAAGCTACTAGAGCAAGACAGGAACGAGGTGGACGCTCCCGCACGGAGCCCCGGAGGCGGCGACAGGGAAGCACGACCGAGCGGCGCCGTGGGCTCTGAGCGAGCTTGGGAAGCTGGGAGGCGCGGCTCCGAGTCGGGGGGGGGGGCCCCCTTCCCTCAACACCAGTCCCTGGGAAGTGGTTTATAATCAGAGCTGAGGAAGAACAAGGCCCTTCCATCACCCCCCAAACCCCAGTCTCAGCCCCAAGGGGAGGGGAAGGGAAGGGAAGAGTGACGAGGGGTGGGAGGCAGGGGTGGAAGGGGTCTACTGGGTCTTCTTATCTTCCGGGGGGTAGTAGGGAGGTGGTGGAGGCTGGTTCTACGGAAGGAAGGAAGAAAGAGCGCATTAGAAGGCTCGCAACAAGACCAGGTCTGCCCGCCCCTAACGCCCTGCACCCGGCCGCCCGCGCACCACCCTGCTCACCGTGGGCATGTACACGTTGTGTGGGTTGCCCGGGTTGTAATAGGCGCTGGCAGCCGCTTCCGCAGCCTTGGCTTCAGCTGCGGGAGCAAACACACCTGGGGTGAGGCCCAGCGACAAGCCCTCGCCTCCTCCAGCTGCCCCGACACAGGAGCCCCCCGCCAGGCGTTGCTCCCCCCGCAGCCGCCCGGTCCGGTCCTTTCCAATTCCTTTGCCCCCCCTCTCTCTCCTGGCCATGATCCCACCAGGTGGGTAGATGACAAGACAACAGAGGGGGACCTCCCCTGCCCCCGGGCACATGGCTAGCTGGGGAAGAGAGCTGGGGGCGGAGGGGGGGTTGGTGGCTGGAATCTAGACCCTCCCCGGCAGCCACCACACTGATAGTCCCCGGGACCAGTCCAAGGCTCAGGGTCATCCACGTGGGGCTCTCGGCCAACCCGCAGCCGTTCTCTGAGGCTCCTCACACAGCCACGGAGAGGAGAGGGGAGGGGAGGGGAGGGCTGGCCCCCCACCCCAAGACTGCCGGCAGCCCAGGGCCTCACCTGCAGGAGTAGAGGGGACATCGGGGCCGCTGACCGGAGGTTCCATGGGCCCAGGGTAGGGCGGTGGTGGGGGCTGCATATATCCCATGGCCCCGTCCATCATGGGGGGTCCCGGATAGAACTCTGCTCGGCAAGAGAGGGACAGGGGCCCAGTGAGCAGCCCAGCCCCTCCGCTGGCAGCTCCCGGGCCTCTCCGGCTCCTCTGTTAGTCCTGAAGCAGCTTGAAGAACAAGTCTGCCCTCTACGACCCCCTGGCCTGGGTGGGAGTGGTTAGTGGGTGGGCGGGGTGTGGGGTGGGCAGCAAAGGACACACTCACCAGGTGGGGGCGGTGGATAGGGGTAGCCAGGAGGGCAGGGGTACATTCCATTGGCGACTGGCGGGGGAAAGACATAGGCCCCGCTGGGCATGTAAGAATACCCATAGGCTCCATTGGGGGCTTCACCTCGGGAGGCTATAAGTACAAGGGGAGAGAGAAATGAGCGTCGCCTACCGAGGGGGGCTGCGGGGTCCCCGGAATGTGCACAGCAGCCGTGCCTGACCCCGCCCTGTTCCGCTCCCCACCCACGCTGGAGCCGGCGTTGGTCAGGGAAGAAGTGAGGGGTCTGGATGGGGAGAGAGGTCAGAGCCAGGGCGGGGTAGGTCAAGAGCAGGGGGAGGGGTGGACAAAAAGACAGGCGGACAGAAAAGAGAGGGAGGCTTGGGGATGGGGAGGCAGCTGGAGCTGGGGTGAGGCTGGGGGCGACGTGAGCATGTCTGCTGAACACAGCTTGGGGGTTTCAAGGGCTAACGGAGCTTAATGGTTGGGTTTCCTGTTTGTTTTCACGAGGCCACAGTAAAACGCCCTGGAGTCCAAAGAGCTTTGTCAAGATGTCCTACACCTGCTCCACACGGGGCAAAGCCAGCCGTCGAAGCACAGGCCAGAGGGATGCTAATTAGAAGCTTCCTTCCCAATGTCCAGCCCCGGGTGGTCCGGGGGCCCAGAGACTTCTCTCTCTCGAGTGCTTACAAAATCAGAATAAAAAGGAGACAAACTCAAATGCACAAACTAAACCCACGCATGTCAGTGTGTCCCTCGCCCCGGAGCTTTCAGAGCTTTGATACCTTGAGACGCCACCTGCAGCATCCGCTGTCCAAACTCGATGGCGCCCCCTGCCATGAAGGTCAACTTGTACGGCGCAGAGCCTTCCCAGCCACCTGGGAGGGGGACAGTGTGTCAGCAGCTCAGGAAAAGAACACGGGTGACCCCTCAAGAGACGGCTCTCTGTTCTCTTGGGGTCTCCGGCCAGTGACCTGGTGGCCTGTGGGGCAAGGGCTGGCTCTGCAGTGCCCGCCTCCCGCCTGTGCCCCCTTCGCTCTTTGGAAGAGGCGGCTTTTCTCGGAACAAGCTTGTCATGGCGCCCCCAGCTGCGGAAGCCCCTCAGCCCTAGAGCCTCCCACCCCCACGAAGCAGCGTCCCTGGGGGCAGGCTCACTCAGCAACAAGGGACATTCAAGTTCAGAGCAGATCTCCCCTCCTGAGGGGCCTCAGGATGGACCCCTGGCCCCTCGAGCCTGGCTTCTGCCAGAGGGGAACCGCGAGCCCCTAGAGGCCAAGATTCGACCCAGCCGGGCGTGAGGGGGAGGCCAAGTTCAACAAAGAAGTCTCTCTGGTGTCTGCCCAAAAGCCGGCCACCAAGCAGGGCATCTCTGGTGGCAGAGGGACAGCTGGCTCTTCCTGGCTCTCGGGAAAAGGCCATTCCCAAGAACCTGATACCTAAAACGTGCACACACTCCGCAGGTTACATGAAGCCATTCTTATCTTTCAGTGAGTTCGCCGATTTCGCTCTGGGAACGTGATCTGAGCTGCTGTCTTTAACACCAGCATCTCCTGGCTCCTGACAAAACCCACCTCTGCCGAACAACTGGCAGCCTGGGTGCTGGCCTCGGAAGCTGATCCGGAGCCAGGAGAGGACAGGGCGAGGGGGTGGTAAGGGTCCGAGGGCAGGCCTAGCAGCAGCGTGTCTGGAAGCCCCACCCGTGGCCCAGAGCCCCCATCACCCACCTCCAGCTTCTGCCTTCACCGTTCCCTTGATGTAGTTCGCACCAAACACAGGCTGCTTGATCTCGCAGTCCTTCATCAGATAAAACGGCATCATGAAGGACTGCATGGCATCCTTTCCTTTGGACAGAAAGATGACCTGCAGGGAGACAGGACGGGAGCCATCAGCGCCCACCCCTCGGCCTGGACCCTCTCCCCCATCCCCCAGCTAGCACTTCCTGTGCATGAGGAGTCTGCTCCCAGCGCGGGCAGCCCCAGGGCGCTCTACACCAAGGAAGTTTCTAGAGAGCGCCTTGAATGTGAAAGGTCTCACGTGCGGCCTGGCTGGAGGCCGAACGTGGGTGTTCATGAGAGAAAAGACTCGCCACTCACGGCAGAGGTGAGAGGGACAGACCGTTCTGGCATTTGAAGGGTGGTGAGGAGGTGGCGGATGCGGCGCAGACGTGAAGGGCGCTGCAGAGCTGGGGCAGAGGCAGGGGTGGGCAGAGCAGGGAGCTGTAGCCTGACGCCCACAGATCCAGGGCTGAGGGAGCGGCAGGAGGGGTTAGATCCTGGGAGAAGGGGGCTACCCAAACAGCAGCAAGTTTCCTGCCCTGCACTTGGACAACCCTCTGTTTTAAACCCGTGACTTCGGGGCGCACCTGGGTGGCTGAGTTGGTTAAGTGCCTGACTTCGGTGCAGGTCACGACCTCCAGGTTCGTGAGTTCGAGGCCCGGGTTGGGCTCTGTGCTCACAGCTTAGAGCCTGGATCCTGCTTTAGATTCTGTGTCTCCCTCTCTCTCTGCCCTTCCCCCACTCGTGCTGTCTCCCTTTCTCAAAAAATGAGTAGACACGAAGACAAAAACCTTTTTTTTTAAACCCGTGACTTTGATCTGTGACTGAAGATCGCAGAAAAGGAGTTTTCAGGCTCCCTTGTCTCTCTGCCAAGGCCCGCTGATAAAAACTTAAAGCTACGTCCCTCTTCTAACCATCTTTAAATCTAACTCTTGGTAGCTCCAGGCAGTGAACCTTTTTTCAAGAATGACCATTTGTCAGGGGCGCCTGGGTGGCTCAGTCAGCTAAGCATCTGACTTCGGCTCAGGTCATGATCTCATGGTTCGTAGGTTCGAGCCCCCGCATCAGACTCCGTGCTGACAGCTAGCTCAGAGCCTGGAGCCTGTCTTCAGATTCTGTGTCTCCCTCTCTCGCTGACCCTCCCTTGCTCATGCTGTCTCTAGCTCTCTCTCAAAAATAAATAAAACATTAAAAAAACTAAAAAAAAAAAAGAAAAAAAAGAATGGCCACTTGTCTTTTTCTGGAAAGCTCTCAGAGCCGGCCTGGGTAATTCTCAGGCAGGGCCCATTCTGCAGTCTGGCACTTTTCACTCTGCAGGGTGCTGCCGGGCTCTCTGCCCAGCCTGGAGGCGGTGGCCATGCTACTGTATCCTGTTTACCACTCTGGATGTACACAAAGGCCTCGTGGGCTACTCTGACGGAAATCAAACTAATAAGAGCCTCCTACTCCAGACCGAAGTCATCCCAGCAGCGGGGACAGACCCGTCGACAGCAACGGATCTGGACTTTGCATGGATTCAACGCCCTGGGTCAGTTCAGCTGCCCAGCCCGAGGGTTCTAGAATCCAAGAACATGTGACACAAACGTGTGGAGTGAAGAACCAACATTCACCAGGTTCAGAGGCCACTGGACTCACGAGGCTGACCTAAAACGCACATCAGCTTCCAGAAAACACGAGCTTTCAAACCAGCCGTCACACCGTGCAACTCACCCGGTAAGGGGTAAGGTAGACGGTGCCTTTCTTGGTCCCTTTGAAGGCCTCGGGCACGTTCTTCATGTCACTGAATGTAAGTTCCACATGATCGTAAGACATCAGGATGCTGGGATAAGAAATGAGGAAAAGCCCTGATGAACCAGTTCGAAGTCATGATCTGTTCTCCCCAGGGACTGCACCCCCCTGGGAAGCAGGTGCCCAGCGTATTGAGTCTCTGTTTGACACTGCTGCAAGAAAACCATTAATACAGCCTTGGAAGGGAGGGCAAGGCAGAGGGCTGCAGAATTTCCCCAAGTCGTGAGCAGCCCCCTCCCCCCCAGGTAACCACACCAGGGGACCTGAGGGCTTTAAAGCCTTAACGCCATAATCCCCCTCCAATCAGGTTAGATTACCTGGGTTAACTCTCCCCTTTTCTTCTGAGTCCTTATTATGAGTGTTTTGTTTTTGTTGGTTTGTTTTTGAGTCCTAACACACAAGCCCTCTAAGACACGGCTCTACGCACCCCCAAAGGGCTTACTTCAGGATTCTTTTAAACCTGGGTTTCCTGGGGTGTCAGACCACGAAGCCCGTGAGATGATGGTGCACGTGCATTTTTCTGGGAGAATCCGTGGCTTTGATCACTCTCAAAGGGATTCATGACTTCAAGAGCAAGGCTATTTTACACACGAAAACTTTAACACTAAACTTCAATTACTGTATATGCAATTCTTTGGGAAATGAGGCTGAAGCATCTTCTCAAACAAGGCACACTATTATTTAGCAGCACAGAGCTCTAAGCCAGGTAGGAGGCCCAGGCAGGATAGATACATTCTTGTCCCACAAGGTCCCACTGAGAAAAGAAGAAAGAAAAACAGTCCCAGGAGATGTTACCAAATGGCATCAAAAGTGTTCTTCCAGGCCCCAGACTGGCTCTCGCACAGACAGCCTACAAACTGGGAACAATGTGAGGTTTCTCGGATTATAAGATAATAAGATCCAAATTCACAGGGTTCCATTGGTCTTCTTCCTCCTTCTCCCAAACTTCACAACTTTCTTCACTGGGGAGGGGTGAGTGGGAAAGAGGACTGGTAGCAGAAAAGAGGAGAACTCAGAGAAAAGAGGTCATTACTAAGAACAGGCTGGTCCAGCAGACCTGAGCAGGTAAGAAGGAAGGGAAGTCGGTATTCTGAGGCTCGGGGCACCCCAGGCTTTCTCCTGACTCATCAAGCATTCCTGGGTGCTGGCCTTAGCAGGCTACAAGGCTCTGATCCCACCAAGTCTCTTCTGGTGACTCAGGCTTCTCCCTAAACGCCATCTGCCTTCCAAAGGCATTTCAGACACAGCATAGCTCTACCAAAGCTAGGCGATCTAATTCTCAGCGCCCAAGGAGCCAGAGAAAAGCCACTGGGAAGTCCAGAGATGGGGAGGGGAGACAGAACTGATTGGAGGGGTGGGAAGAAAGAACTCTTAAGTTGGGAGACCCCGCTTCTGGGGAGTAAGGCAAGTCAACAGGCATTCAAAAGTAAGAGACAAGGACGGACACGGTGCCGGGAATTGTGTTAGACATTTGACAAACGCTACCTATTTAACCGCACCTCTGGACCTCAGTTTCGCATCTTTTCGGAAACTCAGCAGTTTGGGAATATACTGAAAGGCTACACACTGGTAGTTAAGCCTACTGACGCTTGAGTAAAGACGCTTTTCCTGGAATCCCATATTGGTTATTTACAGCTCTGCGACCTCAGGCAAGTTACTCAACTTCTCCGTGCCTCAGTTTCCCTACGTGTAAAACGTGTATAACAGTATGATATGCCGCGCAGTACTTGCGTGTTAAGTAAGAGAGGAGAGGAGCAGGGGCTGACACTTAGTAAACGCCCAATAAACGGCAATTATTTTTGTCTAGGGCTCCTCTCATCTCTTGAAGTCATCGACTCTGGGAAGGGGGCTCAAGAACGACCCCGGGGCCCTGCCTGTCACCCCAAGTCCTGTCCACGTCCAGCCGCCCCACCCCCATCCCAGGGCTAATCTGGACTTCCCGGCCGCACCTCCTGGATCGGCCCTCCTCCCGCCGGCCCCGCCTCCAGCCGTTACCCCCCCTCCCCACCGCACCCCATCAGTTTCCCCTCTTCACGGGCTTATCCCCGACTGCCCACGGACCACCGCCCACGCCTTCAAACCCCGGCCTTCGTTCCTCCAGGATCCTTCCGCAGTGTTTTCACCTCTCTGTGTTGTTGACGATCACTCCGCCGCCCTCCGAGTGATTCTTGTTGAGCGCCATAGTCTCTCGGAGAAGGGTCCCGAGACTCCCAACGCAGTGCGCTTGCGCCTCTCCAGCCCCCGCCCCTAGTGGCGTCGTTCGTATTAGAGTCAGCCAATCACAGCTCTTGCGCGGAGGCTGTCCCAACCACCTGATCTCGAGCGTCACGTGGTCATAGTTTACTCACTCTCCCCTCCCCTCCAAGATTCGCCTGCATCATAAACAAGCTGAAGACTACAATTCCCAGAAGGCAACGCTCCTTCAATCAGCGATCTCTACGCTACTGGAAGGATGTATTGTGGAACTTGTAGTCTCCCAGACCGTAGGCTTGGATTGACTTCCCTTATTGCATAATAACTAATTGGTCTGCGCATTCCGCACTCTCCATCCCGTCCCCAGAGAGACCCGGAATAAGCAGTTGGGTACTTCACGGGGGACTTTATCATAAAAGCCCTCAGCTCAAAAGTGCATACTCACCTAATGGGGGCATAAGAAGCGCAACCTGGTGTGGGGAACGCCGAACGGTCACTTGCTGGCGCACCTCTATTCACTCCTCATGTATGGAGCCCCGAGTCTGACTTTGCCCCCCGGTTAAGGTAGTCTCTAGCCTTGTAAATGAATGCAGGACCCAGTTCCAGAACATGGTGGGCCGGCAGGCAGAGAGGAGCCAGGAAAAACTTCATCTATGTCTTGAAGTCAGACCCAGACTCTCTGAGTTTGGGGGTGACAATGTGCGTAGGGGGAGAAGGGCTCGGTGCCCGGACCCGATGCCTTCACCAACCCCGCTGTCCGGGCGGTAGCAATGCCCACCTCCGGGCCGCTTCCACCGAGGCTGGCCTCGCGGTGGCGCTGCTCCCTCTAGAATGTTCTAGCTTTCAGTTGCTCCAGCCCAGCAGCGTCCCAGCTGAAAGATTTAAACCAGGCAGTAATTGAATGGAACTGGGCGTAAGGCAGCCTCATTATATGGCTTGCAAAATAGAGCTGACTCATTTCAGCTTAGGACCCAGCACTGGGCGGCGCCCACTGGGCAGCTGTAGTTTTTATGTAAACTACCACCACCTCTGGGTTGATCTTTAAGGGGGAAGCCGGGGGGGGGGGGGGGGGGGGGTCCCCCCCCCCCCCCCCGGGGGGGGGGTGGAGCAGCAATTTTACAGGATCAGAGTTTGATTTTATTTATATATTGTTTAAAGTTTATATTTGAGGGGCGCCTGGGTGGCTTAGTTGGTTAAGCGTCCGACTTTCGCTCAGGTCATGATCTCGCGGTTCGTGGGTTCGAGCCCCGCGTCGGGCTCTGGGCTGACTGCCAGCTCGGAGCCTGGAGCCTGTTTCGGAGTCTGTGACTGCCTCTCTCTCTGGCCCTGCCCTGCTCACGCTCTCTCTCTCTCCTAGAAATAAATAAAACATTAAAAATTTTAAAAATAAATAAATAAATAAAGTTTATTTTTGAGAGAGAGAGAAGTCCAGGCAGGCCCTTCACTGTCAGCACAGAGCCTGATTGCGGGGCTCGATCCCATGAATTGTGAAATCATGACCTGAGCCAAAATCAAGTGTTGGAAACTCAACTGACTGAGCCGCCCAGGTGCCCCTGGCCTTCTGCGAGGTCTTACGCAGAAGCAGGTGGGACCTTGCAGGACTAGGGCAAGAATTTCTGCCATGATGGACCGTGATATAATCTGCCCCAGCAGTTACATTAATTTTGGCACATACAGTCTATGTAGCTGTTTAAAAACAAAACAAAAAAAAACTGAAGGCAAATTCTATGTGCAGATACAGAAAAATTGTCAGGTTGTTAAGTACAAGCTGGTGTATAATCGCTTCTCAGCCTTTTCACTAAAATCAAGTGTAAGTACAAACTGGTGCATGAATATGCTTTTAAAAAAAAAGAAAAGAAAAAAAGCTTCTGTTTGTACTAAAATTAGGATCTAGATGTAGATCTAAATTTTCCAGAAAGTTGGGTGCCTGGGTGGCTCAGTTGGTTAAGTGTCAGACTTCAGCTCAGGTCATGATTTCACAGTCCATGAGTTCGAGGCCCATGTTTGGCTCTGAGCTGACAGCTCTGGAACCTACTTCAGATTCTGTGTCTCCCTCTCTCTGCTCCTCCCCTGCTTACACTCTTGTCTCCTCCTCTCTCTTAAAAACAAATAAACCTTAAAAAAAAGATAAAATTTCTGGAAAGAACCAGCAGACATTGTTTTTGGCTTATCCCACTGAGGCATGACTCTGGGCATTCAGGGCAGGCTGGTGACTCTGTATTTATTGTCTACTCTGTTGTAATGTTTCATTGTTCATTGTGCACATTCTCAGTATTAATAACAAATTTCAAAACGAAAGTGAAAATCCACCCAGTAAAGGGTATGTAAGAATGGCAGCTTCGAGGACCATAAAAGGGAAGGTGGGAACCAGTACCTTCCCACCCCCACCCTCTGCGAAACTTGGCTGCTCACAAAGTCAACTGCAGGTTTTGTGGGGCCTAAAGCTTTTGCAGGCCTTGTTTGAGAACTAAAATATACAATCAGGAAAACGCAGTATGTGGCCATCATTAGGCCTCCTGACAGGAAAGGAAATGTGTTGAAGAGGAAGTCAGAGTGGAGACGAGATAGCAGGCTCAGTTGAGTCCAGCTTCGATGTCCAAATTTTGCAAATTTAATAAAAATATACGACTGTGGGGGCGCCCGGCTGGCTTAGTCAGTAGCACATGCGATGATGTGAGTTCGATGATGTCTTGGGGTTGTGAGTCCGAGTCCCACGTTGGGTGTGGAGATGGCTTGGAAACAAAATCTTTAAAAATAAATAAAATCTTTAAATAGAATAATAATAAAATAAACACACAACATATAAACATATTAGAATCTCCCAGCTGTGAAAGGGGTCAGTGGCTTCTAGTTCCCACGCTGAGAGGCTCAAGGGCAATTCATAGCTGAACTGAGTTCGCAGCAAAGTGCCGCCTGTCTGGGTCCAATTGTCAGAACTCACACTTCCACCTTCAAGTCCATACAGGCTCTGCTTGTTTCCGGAAAAGATAGCTCTTTGCTGAGTTGTGATCCCTCCTAATCTCGAGTGAGATTTTTTTTTTACCAGAGGGGCGCTTTCTTGTGTGGTGTGCTAAGCAGGGGCCCAAGTATGCCCAGCATACTGCTCCCTTCACCCTGGGACAGCCCGGTGGGGGCCAGGGTGACTGGTCCAGGGGCCCAGTCACCTCTGCAGCCCCTCGAAGCATCACGCAGTTGTCCCAGTGAGCAGAACAAATCCCATTTGTACTGAACAAATAATCATTCTCTATCTGAGCCATAACATTACAAAGTTTGGGAAGCAGTTTACCACATGGTGGCTCTATTTTTATTTATTTATCTTAACGCCTACCCCACAGTAAGAGAAACATTTAGGAGCACCTGGGTGGCTCAGTCAGTTGAGCGTCCAACATTGGCCCAGGTCATAATCTCAAGGTTTGTGAGTTCAAGCCCTGCATGGGGCTCACTGCTGTTTGTTGGCACAGAGCCTGCTTTGGAGCCTCTGTTCTCCCCCCACCCCCTGCCCTTCCCTCCCTCTCTCTCTCTTTCAAAAATGAAAGAAAAAGAAATACATTTTATATCAGGATGAAGTACACACAGATGTGTATTTTAAAAGTGCAGCTGAAAGAGGAGAAACCTGTTTGGGACCAAAAGAGTAAAAATCAGCTCAGACTGAAGCAGAAAAGACCAGCCCAGCAGTCAGGCAGAGAGGAGGGACACAGATAAAGGCTACAGCAAAGCAAGCAGAAAACATGGGTTTCTCCCAAGGTCATGCAGTGGTTATGAGTCTGACGATTCCCTCTCGGTGACTGCTGCTTTCTTATCAGGATACCCCTAGACAGGCTTTGTAATTCCCAAGGATTAGTGGGCGAGCCCCAGATCCAGGCTGCAGGGGGAGGGGCAGAGAAAGAGGAGAGAATCCCAAGCAGGGATCTCACCATTAGCACATGGAACCCTGCCGGACGTGGGGCTCGATCCCCCGAACCATGAGATCATGACCTGAGCTGAAATCAAGAGCCAGACGCTTAACCAACTGAGCCAGCCACGCACCCCCACTGGGCCCCTGACTGAAGACAGCTGGGTGGGTAGGTGGGTAACCAATTTCCCGGAACGAATCTTAATGCTATTGAAATTTGTCTAAAAATGGCTTAAGCCATTTTATCATGAGTGCTATCTTTTTCCCTCCCCCCAGAAGGAGATAGAATTACATCAGCTAAAAACAAAATACAAAAAGCAAAATTCTGATTTTCCCTAGGCCAGCTCTGGGACTATTTTTCTGTTTTGATGTACTCTGAAATTTTCTATTTAATTTTGTAATTAAAAAAAAATTGCTCTGGTGCTCAGGTGGCTCAGTCGGTTAAGCGCCGACTTCGGCTCAGGTCATGATCTCACAGTTCCTGAGTTCAAGCCTGGCGTCGGGCTCTGTGCTGACAGCTCAGAGCCTGGAGCCTGCTTCAGTTTTTGTGTCTCCCTCTCTCTCTGCCCCTCCCCTGCTTGTGTTCTGTCTTTCAAAAATAAATAAGGGGCGCCTGGGTGGCTTAGTCAGTTAAGCGTCCGACTTTCGCTTAGGTTATGATCTCGCGGTTCATGGGTTCGAGCCTTGCGTCGGGCTCTGTGCTGACTGCCAGCTCAGAGCCTGGAGCCTATTTCAGAGTCTGTCACTCCCTCTCTCTCTGACCCTCCCCTGCTCACGCTGTCTCTCTCTCTCTCCTAGAAATAAAAAATAAATAAAAAATAAACATTAAAAATTTTTTCAGTTAAAAAAATTGCTAATTGCTATGCACTAAATTGAGTATGCAATCTTCAGGTTGAAAACCCCTGTTCCAGAAGAAAGGATGAGGGTGGGAGTGGGTGGAATGAGAGAAGGTGAGGGGAGGGCTGGAGTGGAGGATGGCAACCCCCCCCCCCCACCGCGGGGGCCTGCAGCTCCTGAAGCTGATAAGCTGTCTCATATTTAGGATTCCCAAACCAGGATGCTAAAGGGCTGCATCAGTGTGATTTAGGTTAAGTCTCAGCCTCTTTGCAGGGCTGAGCAGTTGTTCAGTTTTTCTTCACTCTTCACGTGGTAGCCGTGAGTGAGTCTCTCAGCCAAGAGGGTAAACAAGCCTTCCTGCTCCCAGGGTGGGCTTATGGGTTCTCTGACAGATGTTGTCAGTGCTGGCTGAGCGCAGAAGTTCCGCATCCTTCTAAGAAAAAGAGGCCCACTGTGTGCAGCTGGGGCCGGGAGAGCTGGAGGGCGGGAGAGGGCACATGGCTGGAGCTGCAGAGGGGACGCGGTACTTCCCAGAGCCCAGGGGCAGAAGCGGAGTTTGGGGGATCCTCTAGAGTTAACCCACTTGCCCTGCTCGCATTTGCCAGTCCCAAGAGGTGGGGTGTGGCTGTTGAGAGCAGGGGTGCGGAACAAAAAGGACTGTGGTTTGGGGTTGTCAAAGGGTCCAGTCAGAAGACGAACCACAGCAGCTATGGGACCAGAGAGCATTTACTGTGAAGAAGAGAAACAGGTAGAAAGGTGGGCGTGTCACTGTACACTTAGGTAGCGAGGTAACGGAAAAGGTTAAGCAAAGGATGCCAAGGTGTCCCGGAAGTGGACGGAGCTGCCACCACTAGTGAAGAAGACTTCCTGTGATGTTGGGGAGCCCCAAACCCCCAGGAAGTGCCGTTTCCTTCTCCTCCTGGAGCCCTGCATGCTCTCTAGCGCCCCCTGTTGGCAGAGCACGCTGGAAGCCGATGCTGGACTCATGGGGCCCCTAGAGGCCCAACCCCAGCATCCAGAAGTGTTATGGGTTGAATTGTGTCTTCCCCAGATTCATATGTTGAAACCTTAGCCCCTAGTACCTCAGAACATGACCTTAAGTGGAAGTAGGGTTTTTGCGGATATAATTAGTTAAGATGAGGTAATGAGGGTGGGCTCTAATCCAGTGGACTGTTGTTCTTATAAAAAGGGGAAATTTGGACACAGTCAGGCACACAGGGAAAGCCATGTGAAGATGAAGGCAGAGTTCTACAGGCCAAAGATTGCCAAATAGTGTCAGCAAACCGCCAGAAGTCAGAGGCCTTGTGTACAGATTCTCTCTCGCAGCCTCCGAAGGAACTAAATCTGCCAAGACCTTGATTTCGAACGTTGGCCTTGAGAACAGTGAGACAAGAGTTTCTGTAGTTGATTTTATTTTTTTAATATTTTTAAAAATTTTTTAGGGGCGCCTGGGTGGCTTAGTCGGTTAAGCGTCCGACTTTCGCTTAGGTCATGATCTCGCGGTTCGTGGGTTCGAGCCCCGCGTCGGGCTCTGGGCTGACTGCCAGCTAGGAGCCTGGAGCCTGTTTCAGCCTGTGACTCCCTCTCTCTCTGACCCTCCCCTGCTCACGCTGTCTCTCTCTCTCTCTCCTAGAAATAAATAAAACATTTAAAAAAAAAATTTTTAACATTTATTCATTTGAGAGAGAGAGAGAGAGAGAGGGAGACCCAGAATCTGAAGCAGGCTCCAGGCTCTGAGCTGTCAGCACAGAGCCCGACGTGGGGCTCGAACCCACGAACCATGAGAACATGACCTGAGCCGAAGTTGGATGCTTAACTGACTGAGGCACCCAGGCGCCCCCAGTTTCTGTAGTTTAAGCCGCCTACTTTGTGGTACTTTCTCTAGCAAACTGCTACAGTGGGTTTGAGGCAGGAAAACAATTGGGCGCCATCCTCAACCCTTGCTTGGCCCAGGGGAGAGAAGGCTCGCCATACCAGGACCACCTGGGCTCAGACAGCGGGCATCTCAAGAGCTGTCCCTGCGGAGAGAAGATTCTCACACGGAGAAGCTCTCCTAACCAGTGGCACCACGTAAATCCCAGATTATTGTGCTCAAGGACAAAGACCACAGCCACCCCTCCAAGCATGCCTGGGGTTGAATATCTTACCCTCTTGGCAAAGGATAGCTCATCATCAAATGTTATGTGATGTAGGAAAAATACTGACAGTTCTTGTACCCGAGTGTTGAACAAATTCATGCTTAATATACCAGTTCTTTCACTCAGCCAGTTGTCATCTTTCAAACAAGCCAGTGAGAGAAAGACTCTTGGTAACCTTCAACTTCCGGTCACCACTGGTTGGGTAGGCCACGAGGTCGGTGTGGCCGCTGCCACGTGAGGGGCTGGTAACGTGGAACTGAGCTATTCTGGGCAGGTCATTTTGACTGTGGGTATTTCAGTAACAAAAGTTCCTTGCTCCTCCATCAGAAGGCAGAGCCAGGGCCCGCCTGGGGCTATTTCTGGTTGCTATGGAGATGAGCCCCACCCCAAGTTCCCAGCCCAGACCTCCCTGCTCTGTCAAGTTCAATCTTCCCAGATGCAGCTGCAAGGCCTGTTCTTTTTTTTTTTTTTTTAATGTTTTATTTATTTCTGAGACAGAGAGAGACACAGCGTGAGCAGGGGAGGGCCAGAGAGAGAGGGAGACACAGAATCTGAAGCAGGCTCCAGGCTCCCAGCTGTCAGCACAAAGCCCAACGCGGGGCCCGAACCCATGAACCGTGAGATAATGACCTGAGCCGAAGTCGGACGCTCAACCGACTGAGCCACCCAGCTGCCCCTGCAAGGCCTGTTCTGAGCAGTCCCTGCTGTAGCAGTGTTTACCTAAGCCTCCCACTGTCCGTTCCCCACTTCTGTGCCTCTGAAGCCCTGGAAAATCATGGGCACCACCTCTGAAGGTGTCCCCACCCCAGCGCGGAGGAGCCACGCCTGGAGGGACCCCTCTGATGGAGGAGACTCAGGGAGAAGAGAGACCAAGAGAGGCGGTTGTGGATGTGGGCCCCTCCCTGCTATTCTGGATGCTCCTTCCCAGGGCTGGGGAGGCTCCTGTCCTTCCTCCTGGAAAGATGCCAGGTGGGGCATCCTTAGTCCCTCTCATCTGCTTTTCCCTCCTTAAACCCACTTCTCACCTAAATAACAAAGTGATTTTATTCTATTTTAATTTTATTATTTAAAAATAACTTTATTTTTAAATATTTATTTATTTTATGTTTTATTTATTTCTGAGAGAGAGCGAGCGAGAGCAGGGGAGGGTCAGAGAGAGAGGGAGACACAGAATCTGAAACAGGCTCCAGACTCCGAGCTAGCTGTCAGCACAGAGCCCGACATGAGGCTCGAACCCACGAACCGTGAGATCATGACCTGAGCCCAAGTCGGACACTTAACCGGCTGATCCACCCAGACACCCCTAAATATTTATTTTTGAGAGAGAGCATAAGTGGGGAAGGGGCAGAGAGAGACGGGGACAGAGGATCCGAAGTGGGCTCTGCGCGGACAGCAGACACCCCAACGCGGGGCTCGAACTCACAAACTGTGAGATCATGACCTCAGCCGAAGTCGGACGCTTAACCGACTGAGCCGCCCAGGCGCCCCCGGAGTGATTTTAGGCTTTCCGATCTGATTGCATTGCTTCTCCATGTGACATCCTGACTTGGCTTCCCAGTACTCCCAGCAAAAGCCCAGAATCATCTCTGCCCTGGCAGACCTGGCTGGTCTGCCTCATCCTGTTCCCTACTCTTATTGCACTTCTGGCCCAGAGTGCTCAGGCCAGCGCCTCCCCCCCGCCCCCCATACTTGCTCTCCTTGTCCTTGGCCTTCAGGCCTCTGCTGTCCCTCCAGGAAGGTCATCCCTGGAAATGCCCGTCCCCAGCCCTGTAAGGGTCCCTTCTCATGGCCACTGTCCTTTTCTTTTTATTCTGTCTCTGGGAAGCTTCTGTTTTGTTCTGTTTGTTTTCACTGTATCCTAGGGGAGGCAGAACTTTCCCTCTGCCTTCTTAGGGGCTCTAGCTGGACCTGAGAATCAATCAGGTTGACATCAGACAGATTAACAGGAGAAAAAGCAGCAGACTTTAATTGTGTATGTATGCAGGAGCCTTCACGGGCTTAGGCCTAAGTGCTCATACACTAGGTTGGACAAAGAGGAGTAATTGTGGAAACGAAGGGCAAAGGAAGTGACGAGTTATTTTAACAAGGCTGGTTTGTACAGATGTCCCTAGGCCTCAACACCCCCTCCCTGGTGATAAGAATGTTTTTTTCTTCCTGGTGTAGGGAGAGCATCTTTCATGTGGGAGTTTTATCTCCTCTTTTCAGGAAGAAACGGGGAGGTCAGAATGCCCTTCCGGCATCTGCTGTTTTTTGTCTCATTAGCAGAGGAGGCGTGTTCTGGCCCCTCTCAGCGGTCAAATACACATAAAATGTATTGTTCGGGGGCGCTTGGCTGGCTCAGTTGGAAGAGCGTGTGAGTCTTGATCCCTGGGTCCTGAGTGTGAGCGCCACGTTGGGGGTAGAGTTTACTTTAAAAAAATTTACTGTTGGGGCGCCTGGGTGGCTCAGTCAGTTAAGGGTCCGACTTCGGCTCAGATCATGATCTCACGGTTCGTGGGTTCGAGCCCCACGTTGGGCTCTGTGCTGACAGCTTGGAGCCTGGAGCCTGTTTCAGATCCTGTGTCTGCCTCTCCTCTGCTCACACTCTGTCTCACTCTCAAAATAAAGTTTTAAAAAATTGAAAAAAATTTTACTGTTTTAATCATTCTAAGGCCGAGATTTGGTGGCATTCAGTACACTGTTGTGCAGTCATCATCACTTTCCATCTCCGGAACCTCTTCATCGTCCCACACTGAAACTGTCCCCAGTAAATGCTAACTCCTCCCTCCCCCCCTTTAGGAACCCCATATAAACAGAATCATATAAGATTTCTCCTTTCATTGGGGTGCCTGGGTGGCTCAGCTGGTTAAGAATCCAACTTCGGCTCAGGTCATGATCTCACCGTTCATGGGTTCGAGTCCCACGTTGGGCTCTGTGCTGACAGCTAGCTCAGAGCTTGGAGCCTGCTTCAGATTCTGTGTCTCCCTCTCTCTGACCCTCCCCTGCTCACGCTATCTCTCTCTCTCTCAGATATAAATAAAACATTAAAAAAAAAAAAAAAAAGATTTGTCCTTTCACTTTTGGTTTATTTCATTTAGTGTAATGTCTTCAAGTTTCATCCACGTTGTAGCAAGGGTCAGAATTTCCTTCCATTTGAAGGCTGAATAATATTCTATTATATGTACAAACCGCATTTTGATTATCGGTTCATCTGCGGATGGACACTTGGAAGGCTTCCACCATTTGGTTATCGTCAAAAACTGCTAGGAGTATGGGTGTCTAAGTATCTGGCCAAGTCCCTGTGTTCAGTTCTTTTGGGTGTCTCCCAAGAGCCGGGGTCACTGCCCTTGTCCCCTGTAGTCACAGTTATCGTTTGTGGGGTTCCTATGAGAGCTGGGGCGTCTCTGTTTAGGTCACTCACCCCTGTCTCCCTAGCACTGAGCACAGCGCCCCACACTGAATAAATATTGTTAAGTGAGAGAGTGAAAGTTTCCAATCTTAGCGAGTGGGACATGATGCAGTGGCCTGGCAGACTCAAGTCTGGGCTAATCTTAGCTCCCGAAGAACAGATCTGGGGATCCCCCAAGGATTCACAAATCCCCCAAGAGCACTGATTTTACTCGATTATGCTGGGGAGTAATAACAACAGGAAATACTACTACTATAATAGCACTTACTGAAATCTCACCGTGCCAGGGCTTGTACCACTTTCTCTAAATTATCTTTTAATCTTCAAAACTGCTATGCAGTTCCACTCTCATCCCTATTTTACAATGAGGAAACCCAGGCATGGAGGGGCTAAGTACCTGCCCAATGCCAACAGTTAAGAAATGATTGAAGGGGTTGGGGCTCCTGGGTGGCTTAGTCGGTTAAGCGTCCAACTTTCACTTAGGTCACGATCTCGAGGTTTGTGGGTTTGAGCCCCGCATCGGGCTCTGTGCTGACTGCCAGCTCAGAGCCTGGAGCCCATTTCGGAGTCTGTGTCTCCCTCTCTCTCTGACCCTCCCCTGCTCATGCTCTCTCTCTCTCTCTCCTAGAAATAAATAAAAAATATTAAAAAAAAAAGAAATGGCTGAAGGGAAGTTTTTAGCCAAAGCTTTCTGATTCCAAAACTCATGCCCCAAAACATTCTCACTGCTGGGGCAGAAAAGCATTGCTTTTGTGTGTGTGTGTGTGTGTTGTTGTTGTTGTTGTTGTTTTGGTTGTTTTTGTTTTAAAGGTTATTTACTTATTTTGAGGGAGACGAAGACAGAGCATGAGCAGGGGAGGGGCAGAGAGAGAGAATCCCAAGCAGGTTCCATGCTGTCAGTGAAAATCCCGACGCGGGGCTCAAACCCACCAACTGTTAAGATCATGACCTGAGCCGAAACCAAGAGTCGGACGCTTAACTGACTGAGCCACTCAAACGCCACTTGTTTATTTAATATTTTTAAATGTGTATTTATTTCTGAGAGACACAGAGACAGAGTGAGAGCAGGCGAGGGGCAGAGAGAGCGAGGGGGAGACAGAATCCGAAGCAGCCTCCAGGCTCTGAGCTGTCAGGCACAGAGCCTGATGTGGGGTTCGAACTCATGAACTGCGAGATCATGACCTGAGCAGAAGTGGGATGCTTAACCGACTGAGCCACCCAGGCACCCTGTTTGTTTAAGAAGGCTTCATGCCCAGCTCAAGGCCAGAACCCACAACCCCGAGATCAATACCTGACCCAAGATCAAGAGTAAGATACTTAACTGACTGAGCCACCCAGGAGCCCCAAGCATTGCTTTTTAATATTAGAGCAAAATAGGAGAGCTTATGGAGTAAAATTCAAACTCTGAATGTCTTTTAAAGGTAAATCACACAGAACACCAAAGTATACTTCCTACCTGCCTCGGTGCTCTGCTCCATGTGCCTCTGGGCCTGTGTCGCCCCAGCTCCTTCTCTGAAGGCCCTGAGGAAGAAGGTGGAGGTGGAGAGCTGCGTCCTGGGTGAAGCCCATGCGGACCTCCCAGGGCCTTCTACAGCTCCTATGAATCTTCTGGAAGATGTGGCCGTGCAGCAGAAGAGTGACCTCACGGTTCACGTTTTACACATTGGCATCAAATGGGAATGTGTGTACTGTATGCGGGGCTGAGTGAGACTCAGGCCCTGCAGCTGAGCGTTATTCCGACCCCCACCCCCACCCCGCCCCCCCCCCACACACGCGCGCGCACACACACACACACACACACACACAGAAGCCCTAGCACCAGCCCCGCAGGGCCCCCGCCCAGTTCAGCCCTGTCTTCCTGGCCAGGCCCTCCCGTTTAGCCACAGTCCTGGGTCCAGCCTCGCCCTGAGCCTGGGAGGAGGGGAGGTGAAGGAAGGCACTTCTTTGAGTGTTCCCTGGGAGGAGGGGGATGAGAAGGGAGGGGAGAGGGCGGTGGGCTTCTCTCCTCCTGGATTGTGGGGAGGGGGCAGGAGACAAACCCAAACAAGTGAGGACCCAGGGCCGGGCAGTGGCTGCCAAGACAGTGCGAAGCCCCGCTGCTCAGTCGCTTGTTTGGAATTTTGGAGCTCATTTTCCCACAGAAACAAAGCTCAAGGGGAGGTTGGCTCCCGGCCTGGCCCAAAGGAGCCAGATTCAGCTAATAGCAACAGAAGACCGTTCATGCTCTCTGCCATTGTCCCATTGTTGTTGACCAGCCAAGGCTTGGCGGGGGGCCTGGAGACCACAGGCCCTCGGGCAGCTCTGCCAAGGGCTCTGGGGGCCGTGGGAACTGGGGCGCCGGGAGGGCAGTTCTTACACAGGCGACAGTGCTGGGAAGCAGGGTGTGTACGTGTATGAGGTGTGTGAGTGCATGTGTGTGAAGCGTGTGTGTGAAATGTGTGTGTCTGTGTGTGTTTAGACATTTCTAAGGCCAGGACGTACCTACACTGTGGAACATGGAGCTGGTGACCTGGACTGGGCAGGTCCTGGAGGTCTCTGTTCCTCAGTTACTTCCTCTGGAAAAAAAAAAAGAAAAAGAAAAAGAAAGAAAGAAGTAGAAGGTTTGGATTAGATTGGTGGTTTTCTAACTTTTTTTTTTCTTCTTTTTTAAATATAATTCATTGTCAAATTGGTTTCCATACAACACCCAGTGCTTCTTTTGTTTTCATTTTGTTTACCTTGAGAGAAAGAGCGAGGCCACACGCAGGGGAGGAGCAGGGAGAGAGAATCCCAAGCAGGCTCCTCGCTGTCAGCACGGAGCCTAATGCGGGGCTTGAACTCATGAACCGTGAGATCATGACCTGAGCCGAAGTCAGACGCTGAACCGACTGAGCCACCCAGGCACCCCATCTAACAGTTTTTCTTTTAAACGGTTTCCCTTTTTGAGCGGACTGGAAGAAGCACGTACCATCTGCTCTGATTTAAGTGCTGGCAGGGACGGTGAGGGGCGGGCCGCCTGGCTCGCTCCTCCTCCTCTGCCAGCCTGCCGTGCCTCAGTGTACCTCCGTGGAGCTGGAGATCTCAGAGTCTCAGGCAGGAGCCATCCCTCCAGCCCCAGCAGCACCCCGAAGCCTCGGAGGAAGTGCCGGCTGCAGGTAACACTGCAGACTGTGGATAACTCTGAAACCTGGATCAGGCCCAGCCAGGGGTGAGCCAATCCCCTGCGTTGAGCTGGAAAGCTGCAGATGCTGGGATTTGGCGTTAAGATGCACGAGGTTCCGGGCGTTCTGGAAGCTGGGAGCCGCTCTGCAAGTGGCAGGACCTGACTTTTCAGGTCCCCGAGGGTTCTTTGGGGCGGGGCGGGCCAAGCTGGGGGCAGGAAGAGCCGAGAACAGGGGATGCGGGGCTGGGGCTCTGTGAAAGGTAGGAGGGGAGGGGACTCCCGTCTGTCCATGTTTGTGATGGTGACAGGAGCAGCCTTCCCCATTCTGGGGAGCCGGGGGCCCTGGCTGCCACGGAAACCGTTTGCGAACACAAAGCACCAGGAGCAAGGAGGCCCCACCCGGAAAAACAACATCCTGGCTGCTGGGGCAGAAGCAGAGCTCGAAGGAGGGTCTATTTTTAGCTGCCGAGGGAGGCAGCCGCTGGGACTTGTATGGCCTTGCCGTCTGGCTGCATAACTCACCCATTGTCCCGTCTGACCTTGGGCTAGCGCCTGGGAGGCCTCCGTCTGTCCCTGCCCTCCAGGCGTGGACCCTCTCTAGGGTGCACCTGACCATAGAGAACGGGGAGGAGGGGCGGCCTGGAGACACGCCCACTCACTCCCAGGGACCGGGAGCAAGCTGAACTTGGGTGGGTGTCCCCGACCAGGTGGAGGGCCCTGAGGCAGCAGGAGGGGGCACTGGGCCTTCCTGGGCTCAAAGCACACAGTCTGCGGGGTCGCTGGGCCTGGGTCTCCCCAGCGTGGAGCCCTGTTCCGGCTGCCCCGGTGGGTGTGGAGGGGTGGGGTGAGGCGGATTCCAGAGGAGGGACAGAGACCCCTTTATTGTAGAAGCTCTTAGCCTCCAGCCACACCCTGGGGCAGGCTCAGCCACAAGCCTCCCCGACTACTGAGGTGTGTGTGAAAGAAGCTCTCGAACTTTCTGGCCCACACCCAGGAGCGGTGCCCTGCTCTGGGCAGTGTGCTGTCTGCGTTTAACCCTGGGCACAGACACCATGGGCAGGGCCAGGATCGGGCTGTGGCATCAAGGGATGAAAATAGCTGGTGGGAACCAGGCCACAAAGCCCTCAGGCAGCCGGAATGACTGGGGCGGGGGTCAGCCCCCCGAGGAGGAAGCCACCTCGATCGAGCTGCCCCTGCCCTGAACTAGGGAGTCGACTACCCCAAAGGACAGGCATCTCTTTTCGGGCCCCTCCTGCCTTTTACGACCAGCTCTCAAAAAATGAAAGTCCTAGGAACTCTCTAGGGGGTGGACAGAAGGATAGAGAAAGGAGTCATTCATTCAACACACGTTTATTCAGCACCTATTATGTGCCAGGCACTGTCCCAGGACCCTGGAAAAGGAGGGGTTGGGGGTAGCCTGGATCTGTCCCAGCTCTGGCTTTCTCTCCCAGACACAAAGCCCACAGGCGGACAGGGTCTGAGGGCACTTCCAGGGGTCCGCGGGGAAGGCCAAGTATATGGAAGGTGAGGCCTCCAGGGAGGAGAAGCCTGGGGATGTGGGGGACCCCAAGGTGCATTCCCCGGGGCAAGACGGGGGTGCAGAGAAGCAAGCTTCCCAGGAGCTGGGACATTGCAGGAGGCCCCACGTCCCCCTGCATCACCTCCTCTTCAGCACAGATATGCAGGATTTCTTAAGGGGCCCGATCTGCAGATGGGCATCCACACTCTCCAGGAAGAAGGCAGGCTTCAGCCTGCGAGTGAAGAGCCCTGCAAAATGGCTGTCCAGGCGGCTCTGGAAGGGGTCAATGGAGGAAGACAAGGAGCTGCTCCGGCGGGCCCGGGAGGCCTTCAGCCTCCGAAGAAGGCTCATCTTGCCGTCCCGCACGGCGTAGAAGGCCAGGGCTCGGTCGGCATATTCTAGGCAGATCCCAATGGTGGGCGAGAAGGGGTGGGGCAGGAGCGCCTCCAGCCCATGGAACCAAACGGAGAAGCTGCGGCCATTCCACTGCAGGCAGCAGGAGTGGGCATTGCGGCCCAGCCGGCCCCGGTCATAGGGCTCTTGTGGGGAGAAGTCTTCGGCCATGACCCCCATGCTGACCCAGCCTTCGATGATCTCTACTTCCCAGTAGTAGGTGCCCCGGTCCAGGGCACCCTCGCCCAGCACCTGCTCGCAGTGGGTGAAGCGGGTGTGTGACTCGGGGTAGTTGATGGGACACAGCACTCTCTTCACACCTTTGGTTCCAAACAGCTGCAGGTACTTGTCCGCTGTGTCGCTGTCCAGGTCCACGATGTAGGCAACTGCTCCCATGGGTGGGAGAGAGACACAGGGCTCAGGGCCAGGCGCAGGTGGGACAGCCCCTCCCCTAGGTGCCCACCTCCCCTCCTTAGCAACCAGCATGACTGGGCCCCACTAGAGAGAACCGAGAGTGAGCTGACCTAGTTCACCCTAAGAACGAGGGAGGGGAACACAAGCCTTCCTGCGCTAGAGCCCAGCCCAGCAGCCTGGCGAGGGCCCAGTGTGAGCAGAGGGGAGAGCTCAGCTGTCTACTTACACTTGAGGAAGTAATCCCTGGGAGCCTCACTTTCCAAGCTGTTGGTGCTATCGGGGTCTTGGGACTCAGCATCGGCTGCAGAAGAGGAGACAGTGGGGGAGGGGTTCTGCCCAGCTGGTTGTGGCTGGGCAGCAGTGCGAGGTGCTCCTCCTCCCAACCTGTGACCGAAACCCCTCTCCTCCTTCCTCCCAGCATCCCAAGCTGCCTGGGGACAGGCACACCCCCAAATATGGCACTCTGTGTTCCCTGCTCCACCTCCTCCCAGCCCAGGCCTCAGCCACTAGAGGGCAGGCCAGGAGAAGCCCCCCCGCCACCCCCCCCTGCAGCCCCCTAGGCTGTGGCCAAAGGGGCTGACTGGTCATTACTGAGTGGTGTCTCCATTCACTGGTAGGAGTTGGGTCCCCGCTGTGCACAAGGCACAGTTTCCTTCCTCCACTCCTAAATGGGTACCAGGCCTGGGGCCCTGGGTGGGGACACTGGGGGAAGGGTGAATCACTGGCGGTGGCACCCACCTTCCGTGTCCAGCTTATGCAGCTCGTCTTCATCGCTGCCCAGCCCCCGCAGCTGCTCCCACTGGCTGGCACAGGCGGCTGTCAGCAGCTCTCTCACCGTCCGCACGGCCTGGGATGACTTGGTGAAGCTGAGCTCCCTCGGGGGCCCGGGCCCAGGGCCACACCCCTCCTCCAGGGCCAGCCTGAGTGCCAGGAGCTCCTGTAGTAGATCAATGACTCTTAAGACCCCCACTGGCTACAGCGCCTCTGGCTGTGAGGACGGTGCAGCCCTGGGGGCCAGGTACCCGCTGCCTTCTTTCTCCGCTTGTTGCCCACCCCCCTTTCTGTGCCCTCTCTGGCCCGTAAGAACTGCGCTCACCTGCAGGAAGCTGACTGAGTCGGCTTCGGGGACCTGACTGAGGTTGTGGCGGGCCCGGCTTAGCCTGCTGCGCTGTTCCTCCTGCCGCCGCAGGTCACCCTGGGAGCGGCCCAGCATGGTGGCCTCGCCCTCCTCGATGAAGCCCAGCACCTCTGTCTGGAACCCCTGCAGGATGGCCGCAGCCTCGGCGAACAGCCGGCTCACCCTCTCCCGCTCTGCTGCGGCTGCGCTCTGCACGGGACCACGCAGAGGATGAGGGTTATCCTGGCCCCATCCTTCCCGGACCCCACCTTCCCACCCTGCCCTCTAGTGGGGGCATAGGGACTAGCCGGAGCTGCCCTGGACCTATGCCAGGTGGGGGGAGCCGCTCACGCTCAGTGGGGCCAGGCAATTCCCTGAGCATGGGCCTGTTTAGGGAGGATCACACCGTGCCACGAGCCCACACTGCCAGCAGCCTGCCTTAGGACTGCAGGGGGACCGGGTTAGGGCAGGGGCTGACCTTGATGAGGGCCACCGTGCGCCGGGACTGTGCGATGCCAGCGCCCAGCTCGTCCATGCGGTCCTCCACAGCACTCAGGACTTTGGACTGCTCGGCCTGTGGAAAGCATCCTTAATTACACAGGGGCTGGCGGAGGCCACAGCCCTGCGCTGGGGTACCAGGCCTCACCAAGGGGGAGGAGAGGGATGGCCAGGGAGCGGTATCTGTGCATAGGTGGGGCTGAGAGTGGCCAGGATCCCTATAGTTATGCCAGAGGTGCCTCAAGCCCAGGCTGGTGCCATTCCCAAACGCCAAGGGAGAGCACAGCCTGGCTGGCTTTGACCAGTGGGCAAGTGCGGGGCCATCCATGCTCCGCAGGGTCGCTAACACTCCCTGGAGAACTTCCTTCAGTGAGGAAGATGCAGAGAAAGAGAGCGGGGTGGGTGCCGCATGAGAGGACATTTCAGCTGTCTTAGGGACCGCTGTCCCCAAAGAATCTGTGTCCCCAATCCAGGCCTAAAAAATGGGGATTCCGGGCAAGTCCCCTGGGTCTTATGAGTCACAGCTCCAGGCAGGAGAGACGGAAAATCCCAAGGCCAGAGGCGCCAAGACCGGGCTGGAAGCCAAAGGAAACTGGGGGCGGAGGTAGTGGACCCATTGCGCGCACATGCTCCCACCACGGGCCCCCAGAACAGCTGGACAAGAGCGGTCTGTGTGCTCTGTCCCCCCTCTGCCACACTCCCGTCGCCTGCCACACCCATCTAAACCTGATGCCTCAGCCCAGGGCAAATGTGAGCTGGAACCGGCAAGAACCCGGCCTGGCGCAACAGCCGCCGCGCTGCCAGAATCAGCCGCCCGGGTCCCCGCGGGCCTGGCTCCGCTCCCTCCTGCCTTTAGATCCCCGCTGGCCCAGGCCCGGGCTTCAGGCCCCCTGCCTTCGTGTCCTTTTCGCCTTCACACTGGGCCCCCACGACCCCCATTCCCATCTCCAGCAGAGCGTTCCACAGCGACTGGATGGATGACATTGCCCGTACTGGAAAGGACCGCAAAGAGCCTCAGGTTAGAGGAGGACATTAAGACCCTGCCCGGGAAACGGGTGGGGGCGATCCTGGACCCTCGGCGGGCTCGCGCGGCCCTCGCCCGCCCCGGCGCGCCCCCGGTGCGCGTGCCCACCTCCTGGAGCGCGCGCTCCTGCTCCAGCGGCACGAGCTCGTGGCCCCGGTGCTCCTGGGCGGCGCAGGCCTCGCACAGGCACACGCGCTCCGCACGGCAGTAGCGCTCGAGCGGCCGCAGGTGGCGCGGGCACAGGCTCTCCTCCAGCCGGCGCAGCGGCGGCACCAGGCGGTGTCCGCGCAGCGCGGGGCTGCGCTCGTGCGGGCCCAAGTGCGCCGGGCAGAAGGAGGCGAGGCAGGAGAGGCAGGAGAGCGCGGCAGGCAGGGCGGCGCCCTCGGGGCACGCGTCGCAGCGCACCGGCTCTTCGCCGTCCGGCCAGGGCTCAGGCGCGCAGGGAGCCGAAGGCTCGGGGGCGCTGGGCGGGGCGCTGGGCGGCGCGGGCTCCGGGGCCGAGGCCGGGGCCGGGCCGGAGCCGGGCCCGGGCGCGGAGCCCGAGCCATGGCGGAGCTGCAGCAGCTCGGACAGCGTGTGGTTCTTGCGGAGCTGCAGGCCGTCGGGGAAGGGCTCCTGGCAC